CGACGGGACCTTGAAATTTGGTTTAATTATCCGAATGATCAAATTAAAAAAAAGGACAGAAAACGGTTAAAATTAAACTTCCTTTTATTGTCCAAAGTACTCAAGGATGGTCTGATGCCGTCTGCGCTTAAAACGCGTGTCCAAAAGCATGCTTCCGAAAGCAGCGTAACTAAACGCCACGTCCCCCAAAAATCGCATTAAAAAAAAAAAAAAAAACACGAAAAAAGTAAGTTTTACGAGCCGACTTTGGCGCCAAACTAAAATCAACTCGATGATAAAAAAAAAAAAAAAAAAAAAGAGGAAAAGAGAATTTGTTTTTCCGACACGCAAGATAGACCACACACGATGCCACAGAGAAGCGCTTTGAGAGCGTGCGCTGAGAAAGCTTCGAGCCGACTTTAAAGGGGTGCGGAAATGAAATTTTAGCGCCAATCTTTCTGCATAAATATGGGCTAGGGACAGGCACCACCTCGGAAATATCAATATTGCGCTGTAAAACACAGGAGAACTAATTTTAAACCTAATTAAACAATTTCAAATCCACATCTGGTGGATGGGGGGAAAGTTCTCGTGACATCACTTGTGGCATAGGAGCAGCGCCATTCTGCGGCAATACGGCGTGCCGGCAGAATTAGCCTAGGCCTGAATGCGCTTGCAAAGCCTTGGCGGAGAAAGCCAAAGCGTAGTTGACCACAGTGAGCTCGTTCTCGTTGCGGCTCTTTGCACGACACGACCCGAGCATGCTTCTGGCACGGCCGGTATTAGTTGCTGCGAGCTGCGAGCCGACGTTAAAAAAAAGATATGTTTGAACTACGAGGGTGTCAGCAAGAGCCACGCAAATACCGTTCACACTCGGAGCGGACACGCGCGTTTGATCGAAGTGCTGGATTCGCTCTGTTAGACCGCGTTTCGGTACGCCCTTCTAAACCAATCCTTTACGATTGCAACTCGATACTGACATGACACTCGGCAAAGAAAGGTTGGACCGACATCGCGTAGCTCTCACGAACTGCTATAGCTCGACAGTGACGTAGCGTCGTGTCAGAATAAAAATGGCATACTAATAACAAAGTGTACATACCGTGTTGCGAAGGTAATCCGTATGGCGTTTATTTGAGCTCTATATCACACAAAACAAGGAAATAGACCCAATGAGAGTACCTTTTCGACGACAGCGTTCGTCACCGCTGTCTCGGAAAACAAGGAGATCGAGATGACAAGGGGAAAAGATTGACCTGAAATTTAGTTCAGGGGTCAAACTATTCATCCGGGAAGAGTCTACAAGGGTCGCGCGGGCATATTCCATTCAGCAGGCCAGCCGGTCATGGGCAGACGGTCTTGGCCAAGGACAGCCGGAGCAACGGTGCGCCGAGTCGGTGTTGCTGCTAGGCCTACTATATTCTGCCGAGCTCGCTTAGTCGGTAGAATCATGGCCGTTGTAGCTCTTCTCGGGTGTTTGTGGATCCTGCATTCTTGATCGTCGTGGTCTGTTTCAGGTACTCCTTCCTTTTTTCTTGCTGGTTGAAGTTGGGACGCACGAGAAGAGCACGTGGAAAATAATTGTCCGTTGGTCGTCGCTACCAAGTAACTGAGCGACGCTGTCGGCCATGTTGATTTGATTGTAAAGAGTGCATAAGACAGCTTCGGAGCTGTCGTAGGATTCTGTCGAAACCTGCGCAAAGGTTGTGACAATTTCGTTTCGAGAATACGGGTTTTCTCTCAAATTTGTCGTAGGCACTTTTTTCGTCGTGAGTTTGCTTTGAGAATCCGGCCTCAGAGCTGGTTTTCAGTGGTGCCGTGGTTGCCGACTTGCCGTGATGCAGCGTGCGTGCAGCCCTTGCACATCTCCAACGGCCACGTTGTCACAGGTCGTAAATCGTCGACGTGCCACCGAGTGGCAACGCTCGTAACCACATTATTCACGCCGTAGCCTTTCCCGTCCGGCACAAGTGACGTCACGAATGCGCCCAATATCCCAAGATGCATCGCGCTCTCCGATGGCTGATTTTTGCGCGCGCGCCCAATCGGGCCCCTCAGGGTGAAAAATATAGCCATCCGTTCAAAATATGAATGCGCGATTATGATTTACGAATATCATTGATCATATTGAACCTATTTCTGACCATAATACGTGTATTTCAAGTTTCGCTTCAGTATCCCTTTAATGTCGGCAACAAAAAAAAGAAAAGAGAACTTACGTTTTTTGGTGTGCAAGATAGAGCGCATTTGATGCTACAGAAAAACATTTGGAGAGCGCGCGCTGGCTCATGCGTGCCCGACCACGTGCTAAGTTCTCCGCGCTACTCCAGGCCAAACTGGTTGCGCTGGCTCGTGTCATTCGCTAAGGTCCATCTCAACAGCGTAGAGGAGCAGGCGCGTATTTATGCACGTTGGGCTTTGCAGCAAAGGGCCCGTGTTCCGCCCTACGTTGGTGGTCTTTCTGCCGTGGTGCCGTGCAATGCGAGCCCGGACACACTCGCTCGGGACGAATTATTCGATGCGGAGTCTTCCCGAGTTTGAACTATCAAACTTTTCCCCCCATAGAAATGTATGGGTGCGCTTGCCGGGACTTTTGAACACGGTCGAATTAAACGAAAAGTCGAATTGACCGAGGTCCAACTAATGAAAGTTAACAGCATTCGATTCATTATTAAAAAAATTGTGAATATTCTCATACCCCTACTTGATACGTATCGGACGCACCGAATGAATGACCCGTATAAATAATCCGACGTCATGACGTCCGAACCGCGCGATCTGTGGTGCCGGTACGTCTGACAAGCGAGTTCTTAGCGATTTCCCACGTTTTTGTCAGCGATCTGCGCGCATGATATCAGTTCCCGTAACACGCGAGTTGTTCCCATTGTGAAACGCGAACCTGCTGCGTCTGCGATCCGAAGTATCCGTTACCGTGACACGGGAGGTCGTAGTGAATTTCCGCATGTTTATTGCATAGTGAAACAGAAATTTGCTGTGTCCGCGATATCCGGTATCAGTCCACGTGTTGCGTGGTTTGTAGCAGGTGCCCCCGTGTTTATCACTAATATTTAATATCACTAATATATGATAGCGTTCCTGTTGTACCTCCAAAGATAGCCCCACCCATGTTTTTCACCATTTCTTAGTCTTGTGCAAATAGTGGATTTTGAGTTCGAAGCGAATTCGAAGCGAATAGTGGTTTTGGCCGAATATTTTCCATTCGAATATCGAATAGTTTTTCCACGCCTTTCACTACCACTAAGGTAACAATTTGGGTCAGTTAGTTCATGATCACCTCAAAAAGCGCAAAAAAAAAAAAAGAACAACACAAGGACGAGGAAGTAGACAGAGCACTCTTTATCTGTCTGCTTCCTCATCCTTGTGTTGTTTTTTTTTGTACTTTTTAGGTGCTTTCACTACTACTGCATAATGCTTAGACAAAAACCCAGCTAAACCTGTGAAGGTTGTTCCACTTGTTCATTTATAAGCTAAGTTTAATCTATCTATGTTTATGAATTGTGACCTCAGAAGGTCTGGTGTCTTTGGATGGCAAGTAAACAACAAATTTGAGATAAAATGAATCCTATAAAAATGGCCAACTATACCCCATTGAGTGAATTTACAAATCTTTTTTTAATCTCGAGTTAAAAAAGAATGAATCGCACATGATGAACTCAGCTTGTAAGGGCATCTCTGCCTAACATAGTGTACTCTTGCATAACAGTTTAATTGTGAAACTTTTACCACAAAGCAGATATACAGATTCACAAAGTTTCCCCTTATTTTCAAATACAGTCAGCACGGTTGCACTATCCCGCTTTCAATGTACGCTTTTCTTTCAAGGACGCAATTACGATATTCCTACTTTTCCAAGTGTTTATCACGGCGGGTTACTCCATTGAGTGTGCTTCTCACCGAGCACCGATGTAATGCAGAGAAGCAACATCCGCAGAGCTCGCTTTGGCGGGTATTGCTTCTCCGCAGCACACCGGCGCGTGGTAAGAAGCGCACTCAACGGGGCTAACCTGCCGCAATCAACACTTCGAAAAACGCGAATAGTGCGGTTCTTCTCGAAGCAAATATCGAATAGTGTATTATCCAGAACTACTATTCGAAATTTCGAATATTCGCACAACCCTACCATTTCTCTTTATTTTGGGTGGGCGTTTTTACGAGACATAACTGTAGACACGGGCACTTGTCCGGTGAAATCAGGCCCTTATTGTACAATTCACAGAATTACCAAGTTTGGGAAATGTTAAAGTGGGCACTTGAAAGAAGTGGGCGCTTCTGCGGTATTTTACGGTTCTGTTAGACATCTTTGAGCCATTACTTTTGGTTTTATGCATTTGAAATTTTTAGTCAATATTGCTGTTTTAGCTATCTCATGTGCTTTTCTTGTCTTTTTTTTATAATGGCACAGATACTATTTTTTTTTGATAATCTATATTCATATTCAATAATGTTTTAGTTTGATTGTTCTCACATATTGCAACATAGTTTTGTGTTACACCAACTATGCAAGCTATTATGTGTTTATGTCACAATGCAAAGCCTCTCAATAGGTACAGCCTTCCGTAGGAGACTGGCAGACTGCGAAAATGACACAAATAAAATGTCCAAATTTAGGAAAGGTACTCATGACAGTCAGTATAAATAACCACCTTGCCTAGAGCGCGTCTCCGACTGGTGTTTTCAGCGTCCTGCCATCGCTTTGAAAGCGGCAACGAACGACCTCACAAAAAGGTCATCCACCGTCGCCATCCTAGCAGTTGGGTGCAGAAGGAAAAAAAGTGGGAGGGAATTCGTCATCATGGCTGCCTCCGTGGATGCTGGAGAACAACCAGCAGCAAACGGGCGTCTGCCCCGTCCAACGTCGGGCCGGTGACAGCATGACACTTCCATGACGTCACCGGGCGGAGATCGAGGAGGCGCTTCTTTTGCCGCGATAAACGCACCACTCATAGACGCGTTCCAGGCAGCATAGTAGAGCATAGGCCAAAAGGTGCTGCCAGCCTTACCGGTGCTCCCGCTGCACGCAGTCTGCGGCCCCGTGCTTCATGCGGTGGGCATAGCCCTCCTTGAGGTTGCAGATCTCCCGCTGAAGCTCCTCCTGATGAGCTCTCTGCATTGCGTTGAGAGCTGCACAGCAACCACATCCATTTCAAGCTTGGCGCCGAAAGACACTTTCTGTTTCAAATTTTAGATCTCGGAAACTGGTCTCAAACAGTAGGTTTCCGGTTTCAAACACTAAATTCTGGTTTCAAAACCCAGTTTAAAATGCCAGTTTCAAACGCTTGTTTCCAGCTTAAAAATATAACGAGCCACGCTGCTGCGTTTCTTAAAAAAAACAATAAAACGGCAACACAATCTTTTTTTAAGTGCTTAGATGGCACGCATATACCATAAAAAGCTTTCCATGAAAAAGAAAATTTTTTGTCAATATTCTTGCCTAGTGACAAAGTTTAGGTGGAGGTCACTGCCTGCTTTAAGCCCCACCCACAGATCGGTGGCCCCGCCCATTACTACTGGCTTGGCTGCTTGACGGAACGAGTAGCGAGCCTAGTGTCTTCCTGTCGCGACGTCCAGTACGTCTAGTCTGGCATCTGACGCCGTCCGACGTGCCAAGATCGCCCGCGATATTTGGTTAACATATAATGCCTTGGCGCATGTTGCCGTCTTTGGTTCCAACTGGACTTATTTCGTAAGGCCGTAGCACGATTCTTGCCATGCTTTTTTACTCCATTTGTTCACTTCTCACATCCACTTTTTTTCTTACGTAACAGGGAAAGAGCCTCCTGGCACGCTTTCAATGATGTGCAACTCATGACGTACACTCCTTTTACAATGGCACGCTACGCATAGGCACACGCATATGGTTCAGCCTTCCCAGTATGCACAACGTATGCAACAACGTAAAACCGAGGCGCGACGAGGGGAGGAAAGACTGGCTCCCCGAAGACAACAGTATGCAGACCATAGGCGGCGACTGATGGAAGCTGTTAACTGCTGGAACAGACACTGTGTAAGTACAGACTCGGGTTCTGTACGAACACTAACGAACCTAGGTTGCGCAACAGCACGACTATACACCAACTCATGTTTACAAACAAACCGGAGCACCCCTAGCGGACGCCACCGCCGCCACGCATGTGCGGCGGATGGTGGGAAAGAAGCCCGCCGTTGCCCATAAACGAACCATTGAATTGCGTTGTTTTCGGCGTCGGTGGGAGTCCCCGTGCTCTTTTTCGCGTTGGAATTGTTGATTTCACATCCTCCTAACAATGCCTGACTACTTGAGCGGCTTCAGCAAAATTAATGAGGCAAAACTTTGCGTGAATAATGTGACTTGCGGCGATTCATTTCACGTGGACGCCGCAGAATGGGCGCTAAAGCTAGCTAACTCGCACGATGAGATTCTGCTCGCTATTTTCAGTCGCGACGTCGCTCGGGCTGCAAAAGCGTGGACCATAGCTGAGAGGACGGACGTCGATACTGAAAACCGCAAGTAGAATTGGGCATTATAAATCGGTGATGGCCACTGGTAACAATGATCAACATCTTCTTGTATCTGCTGTTTACCCTTCTTACCCCAACCAACCTTCAAGAGTGTTTTGAGGCCTGCACTTAGTTCTTATCGCAATTACCGGGTCAATGTTTCGTTTACGGGCGGCTGTCGTTTGAACGAGCTGACGACAAAAAGCAGACAAGTTTGAAAGAGCAGACGACAGTTCGAATGCAAGAAGCACCGCGTCCCGCGTCAACAAACCATTGGAATGTCACATTGTCGGCGTCTGTGTGAGTCTGCATACTGTTTTTCGCGTTAGAATTGTCTATTCTACGTCCTCATAGCAATGTCTTACCACTTTAATCGCCTGAGCGAAATTATCAAGGCTCGTTACACCGCTAGACTTTGCGTAAATAATTTGACGTGCGGTGATCCATTTGCGTGAACGGCGCAGAATGGATGCCAAAACCATCATGAGATTCTTCTAGATATTTTCGGTCGCGACGCCGCTCATGCTGCAAAAGTGTAGAAGGTAGCGGCGATGATCGACGTCTATACTGAAATTCGGAAGCGGGAACAGACCAAGCGTAACAAGTTGGCGATGGCCACTGGTACCAATGATCAACATCTTGTATCTACTCTTTACACCGAGCCTACATAAGTCTTTTGATGCCTGCAATTACTTCTTATTGCAATCACCAGGTCAAAGTTTGGTCTACGGGCCGCTTTTGTTTGAACGAGCAGATGACAAAAAGCAAGCTCGGAAGAGCAGACAAAAGTTCGAACGATCATGTGGCCGTGTGAATTTGAAGACGCACTGAACCCGCGGGTGGCCCGGACAACTTGGCGATTTTCTCTCGTTCATGTTGGAACAAAACAAATACATCTGCCGACCACAAAGTGTTGCCCGCACAAGCAATCGTAATTCGACAGCGTCTGGTTTACCCTTTTCACGGCTACTATCCACGTACTCGGACGAACGGAGCAGGAAGAAACACATGAAAACTGATCTTCAAACCTTTCCAGACTCTTTTGGTACAGTCCCCGTCACAGCATTTTGACGAGAACGCAGGTTTTTTGTGTGGTTTATCCGAAAAGAACACAAGAATGCCTGTCTCGCACGGCGACTTTTGCCCACCGCCCCAGACCGGAAGTGCGACCGACGCGCCACCACCGCGGCGTGACGTAGGAGAGTTGAGTTTGTGTATAGATTTCACGTTCAGTTGCCACATAGGTAATATTCTAACCGAGGGCTATGTGGCGTACTTCAGCTTGCTTAGGCTGCACATGTGCATGATCTGTCCATGGCAGGTATAAACGCGCGTTCGAGGTGAATAAATACTCAAAATTAAATGGCTCTCTCGTTTTACGTGTACACGCCCACGTCCTCCATGCTCAGGCTCGCCAACTTGATGTGCTCGGAGATGCAGAAGAGAAATGTTGGCACTGTTCGGCCGAGCAAAAATAACGCCGCAAGTTTGGAATTCTCGTTCTCCACTAAGTTGGAAACCTTGACGATCCCATCAGTAATACCCGACACGGTCTTAGGAAAGGGTGGAGTTGTGAGACTCTGCTCTCTCTCCCGTACAATGATCCAAGTAGCGCTCCTCACAGGTTCAAAGAAGCCCACATAGGTACCCTTTATCGACATATAGAACGCCCTCGACAATGTGAACCACAACCTTATCCTTGCCAAGCTCCCAAACTTGGGTATCTCCGGATCAACTCTAAATTGGATAGCTGCTTCTTCCTTACTGACCGCCATCAGCGAGTCAGCTGTCAAGGTGCATTTGGCCAGTGGCACCAGGTGAAAGCGGGAGTGCCACAAGGTTCTGCGATTGGGCACCTTCTTTTCAACCTCTATATCAATGACCTTACGTCTGTCATTGAATCTAACATCCTCGGTTAAGCCGATGATTATGTACTACACAAAACCATTCCTTCTGTCAAGGAGGTCCTGCAGCTCGACCTGCTCCAGAATTGTAAATGGCCTAAACTCGATGGACCTTAACCCCAGCGAGGCTGCATTCCTCGAAGCCGAAAACAGGACGCGGAAACAGGACGTCACTGGCACAAGGGGAGTGCGGTTTGACTGGAGCCCTTCGATCGCAAGAGGACTATGTCCGTAAAAGAGCCAACAGATTGAGAGGTCCTCAATTTGCATTCTGTATGCTCTACACCGCTCTTGTACTCCCTCTATTTGAAATACTGGTCCTCTATCTGGAGCCCCCACCAGGCTGGCCTATACAAGAGGCTTGAGTCGACTCAAAGAAAAGCCACTAAGACTGTAGTGTTGTTTGTTACTGGCAGGTGTCTCTCCTAACAATACTAACCTGATTCAAAACACACTATCATAGAGCGTGCTGCCTTACTGTTACGTTTTGTTTATAGACCGTGAATAAAGCCTACTGTCGGTCTTTGCCCATCCAGCCCAGCTGAGATTGTCTGGTCACGGTCTCTACGAAGACAGCACCGTACACGCCGGATGGCAGGGCTAGCACCCCACGAGAGACAGTCTCTTGTATGGTCTTGACTTGATAAGTGTCAACCGCTCTCCATGCAAATACTTCTGTACAAGTACCGGTGTCTGCCCCATCCCTGATGGCTACAAACTAGAGTCAAGGCTTCGAAACTCGACCAGCACTTTGCACGCACCATTAGCGCTTCCCCCTCCCCGTTCGTTCAGGCTTCCGAGCTGTGGAACCTCCTACGAGACGGTGCTTGCTAGGCTCCTAGCGTGGCCGAGTTGGAGCCTCAGTGCGGCATCACGAGTGAATCGTACATAACTTGCCCATTCTTCTATTCACTCATTCCATTTCATAGTCATCCATCACTTGTTAACCTAGGGCCGAGGAGGCAGCCAGCACTTGTACGCACGGGCCTTTTTGGCTGCCTCAGTCTCTCGGCCCTACGGATGTTAATGCCAATTCCTGACTTTTGACTTTGACGCCATCAGCATGATGTCACCATTGAGGCTACATCCTGGACACAGACAGAATGTGCTAAAAACCCTATAATGTGCCACAATTTAAATGTCAACAATAAGTCGATAATTGAAGCACATTGCCCCCCACTAGCAGAGAGAAGCTGCACAAGTGAGTCGACCCCAGAAAGGCTGCACGCTCACCGGCCAGAGTTGCCTGAGTCTCCTGCGCCAGCACCCGGTCCCGGTCGGCGTGCACCCGCTCCAGCTCCGCCCGGTGGCGCTCCTCCAGCTGTGCCACCTGGCGCCCGTGAGACGCCTCCAGCGCCGCCAGGCCCCGCTCGCACAGGCGCTGCAAGAGCCGGGGTGTTCCAATACGCGCTTCCATGCGCGCTCAGAAACGCCGCCAGACAACCTCGGTTACGAAACTCGGTGTAAACGCCGAGAAAAAGTGCTTAGTAGCCATGTCTGGAACGTGTCTCCAACCGGTGCATTTACAGCGTCCCCAAATGTAGTCCGTCAATTTTCGACCGACGACGTCGTAGAAGTGGCAGACGCCCGTTCTGCAGTGGGTTCAGTCAGACAGTCTCCTTGCTCCTGCTCGCCTTTCTTGACAGCAACCAACCACAAATGTATTTCTGATTCGTGGGTGGTATTTTATTTATTGATTTATTTAGCACTTTTGCGGTGCCCCTCAACCGTCCGTGGGCCTACAGGAGTGTGCACCAGTGCATACATGCAAGAGTTCAAGTAACACAAAATACAGGATGCAAAAACAAAAACATACCTTGGAAAAGAAAAAAAAGAAACGTGAAAGAGGACGCACACCAGTTGAAGACTAACGTAGAAGTTTGGGCTAGCTGTTATTTTATGATTAAAAATGAAAACAGCACAAGGACACGGACAAGAACAAGAAGGTAGATGAAGCGCCTTGTTTGTCTACCTTCTTATTTTTTCCGTGTCCTTGCACCGTTTCAATTTTTAATCAGTTGAAGATGTCTTCCACACATTCTAGTTGCAGGGGCGCTACAAAAGAGCGAGACACGGACAAGCGCTTGCCCCTCCTTCGTGTTCTTTCGGCCATATCTCAGCACTGCGCTACAACTAGCCCAAAGAGACTCGGGGGGAAAACGCTACCGTGGCAAAGGCAGTGGCGATGCAGTACGCGTCGAACGTTGCTCCGTGGAGAATGACCTTGGCACCCATCTTGTACGTTGAAGGTGCAAACATTGTCATACGTGGCGTCTCCAAAAAAAAGCCCTGCTAAACCTTGAGTGAAAGCGGAACACCGAGTTTGCATCTCTTGCGGTCACAGAGCCCTGCTTCGACCGGCACTCTGCGTGTCGAGAGTCCGCAATGGCAGTCGTGGGACAGACTCGCACCCGCACTCCCCCGACGTACCTTGAGCTGCTCCATCTCTGGGCGGCAACGCAGGCGCACAGCCTCCTCGTCCACGGCCTCCAGGCCCTGGGACAGCTTCTGCTGGTACAACTCACGCAGGCTCCCGATGCGTTCCTCCTGCTCCGCCTGCGTTCCAAACGTCGGCCATGAGACCTTCGACGGAGGTCTACGCCAGAGGTGCGCAAACTTTTCGACTTCCAGCCCCCCAATCACACCGCTTCACGGCGACAGTCTGTGGATGGCTCGTTACAAAACATTAACCCACCTTGGGCCATCAGTACACGTCGCCTCGCAGTGCCCTGCCGGTGGCCCAAGCATGCCCTAGCCCCGCTTTCCCCCACTGCACCTCGGTTGCTAAATGTTACATCACGCCTTCGCTGTTTGTAACCAGCCGATCTTGCGCAGCTGCCGTCCTTCGTGCACGCGCTAAGTGACCTGATCTGCTTGCACCAAAAAGAAGAGGGGTTTCGGGAATGTACACCCTGCGCAAAAGTGCCGAGGGGCTGCGTTGACCGTGCTTTGTTATACGATGATCCCTCGTTATAACGAAGTCGCTTTTTTCGAATTATCGCTTTTATCCAAGTTCAAAGTGGTCCCGACTGAAGCGCACACATTTTTAACTGGATTATTCTAAGTATATTGGCGGCCGACCATGCTCGTTACAAAAGCCAAGGTGTCGAAAGCATGCGAGCCTACATGGAGGTATGCAGAGACCCTCGCATTCCCTAGCCCTTCTTCACAAATGGCAAACGCCGACGCTGGCAGGGAGCAGCGGGAGGCGTCAACATTCCGACGCTACTCACGGCGCCTGCGACGGACGCTGCCCGACTCCAGTCGGAATCAAGTCAAGAGAGCAATGGAGGCCATGAGGAGATTGTTTCTTCAGGAGCCCCCAACATGCGCGCCTGTGGCGTACTACATGTGTACCTCCGTTGTACAGGAGATTGGGAGTATTTACTGGAAGTCGCTTACATCTGCTAAGCTCACGAAATCGGACGGCCCAAGTCCGAGATCGCCAAAGAATTTGACATTCCGGCATCGACTGTTTGACACTATTCACTGTTTTGCGGAACAAGCGAGGCATAGTGGACAGGTTTGAGAAGTTTTTCATGCAGGAGAAAGCGCACCCGTGACCCTAAGATGAAAGATCGCCAACCGCTTTGCGCGCGTCCAATATTTTCTCGCGAGCACACCCGCCGAGCTGGCGCACAATTTTCATAGCTGCAACGATCTCTACAGGAGTGTGTGAAAACATGTTGGCAAAGCCACCGAGGATAACTTTGATTTGTTATCCTCGGTGGCGCACAACTGATTATTAGTCAACTCCACACGTTGAAGCTGAGCCACACATTGCCTGCATTTCGAAGTGCAGATAAACATCGGGAAGAAAAACGGACGAAACGTCATCACTCGGTGAAAGTTTGTGTGTATGAAGGCACTCCAGCATCGATTCAATCGAGGCGCGAAAGTTAGAAAGTGCCAAGTGATTCCACCTCGAGGCGAGCAACAAGCCGAGAGATCTAAGTGATTCTTTCCGACTTTCGGTTTCCCATCCAGAGAAAGGAAGCAATCAGCGATTCTTGCTACCTCTCGACGGGAACGTCCGCGCTTGTCACCGCGGACGTTCCTGTTGTGGCTCCTGCCACGAATGCTGCCATTGTAGACCTTCCGTGCAGCCAGGGTAAACACGAAGCTACGTCGGAGAGGCCCTTCGGGAAACGCCGACGACAGCGGAGACGCAGAACGTCCTACGGCTGCTTCGAAACAAAGTGGAGGGCAGCGACGGTGACTTTGTTCTTGCAATGCCTGGAGCAGTTCGGAAAGAACTGATGCCCAGATGAAGTTATAGGCAAACTCCCCTTGATCACTTTTTTTACTCGGTAAAGCTGCCGCTTGCTGTTCATAACCAAAGCTTGTACGATTAAATATACGGTCAGAGTGTTGTGCAGCATTGCCGTACACCTTCAAGGCTGTTGGCACTGTTTTTTTTTGCTCTATCGCTTTTATCCAATTACCGCTTATACCAAATTTTTTCTGCCATCCCACTGGCTTCGTTATAATGAGGGATTCGTGTATATAACCGCCGTGCAAAATGCTAACACATTTCTTCAAGAATCAGCGTGGCGGCAGCAGCGGTTTCCGACCCTTTTTTTTGTTCCCGAGCGTGTGAGAGCATGTCTCCCGGCACGAGTTTTTGGCATTGAAAGTGCTACAACAGCATTTTGCTGCCAGCAATTTGTTTTTTTTCCAGATAGCGTGTGCAGTGGGCAATGGGTACTAGAAAAATCCTAAGTTTAGAGCGGGTTATTAACGCTGCGGCTTAGCCCAGTGTCAATGCACATACTGCATTGCACGCAGTGAACCCAGGTTCTACTCCCGCAGGCAATCTTTTTTTAGGATTTGGCAACATCGACGATGGGTACCCTACAACGCCCACCACAACATGAACAACAACTACAACATCAAAAATGGATGTCATTTCCAGTGGTGGAATGAGCCCATAAAAGCTATTGCTGTACAAAAATAACTGACTCCCTTTTGGTTTGCCGGAAGTACTTCCGATGCGCATTCAACTAATTTTGCTACTAAATATGCAATCCTGATATTTTTTTATAGGAAAGCTGAAGGTTAAAAAACTACACCGAAAAATCACGTAAAGAATAATAAGTTGCATTTTTATATCTGCATTTTTTCTTACCGATGACTCGGCTTTCTGACGGTGACTACAACATGGACAAATCTTGTAAGCAGTCACCAAAAAGTCCCAAAGCATCCGAGCGACCAAACCACGTGCGGAGTTGGCTGTCAAGATGGTGTAGCAGCTCGGCGCAGAAACGCGTAGCACGCTGCGGTAAAGGGCGGCTCACCTGAAGGCGCTGCAGCTGACGCCTGGCCGCCTGCAACTCAGACTCCAGCCCCTGCACCGCTCGCTGGTGATTCGCCTCCTGCACGCACCAAGCACCACTTCACCATTTCACCAGAATGGAGCTTGAAATTTTATATTTTCCATCTTCCATTCAGCCCTAAAGTAGGTCTTTGGAAAACTTAAAGCTCGCTCCACGCAGGCACTGAGAGGTCACTTTCAGCAAGCCCGTCCACACCGGTTGCTCCACTGAAGACGTCACCAGTTACACAACCGAGGCTACACGGTGTTTCCAACTGCTCAGTCGGGGTGGTTGCAATACCATGTGATCCGTGTCCCCAGGGGGCATCCTTCATTAATTTGCGAAAGCTCTCCACAGTTCAAACTGCTCTCTCTCCTAGGCTCTCTTTCCAAGACTACTCCACCGACTGAACACGTGCCGAAGCAACTGGTCTTCCCTGTCCCTTGCCTCATGCCCGGTAGGCTACTCGCACCTTCAATCCGTCCATCCCTCCGAAATGACACAAAATGAGCCCATGTCGCAAAAACCACGCGCCCCCTATTTCTGAAACGTTTAAAAAATCCTCCAAGTACGTATCAAATGCCCACTCCCCCATTTCAAGATATGTGCAACACGTCGAGCGCCCAGTCGCAATGGGTGGACAGCACGGATCAAGCGGCAGAAGGGTACGGCGTCGAAAGGAGCTAGAAACCGATTGCAATGGACGAGTGCGTACATCTACTGTATTTACTCGCATAATGAACACTTTTTTTCCCGAAAAATTGACATATATTTATGTATTTTACACGGGATAAATTTTTGCATTAACACACTTTGCACAATCGTCGTTTTAGGTGCCAATATGACACGGCAAGGTACTGTGGCACGTCTCCAGTGACGAAGGCACACCCACAACTGGTCGGGGCTGCACCACAGTAACCACGCTTTATAAATTGCAAACCTTTTTAGGGCGCTTTCGGGGTGCCTTTTGCCCAAGGAAAAGCGCCCTACGAAGCTCACTCAGCACGAAAAGCAGCACGACCGTTCTTAGGCGATATATATTGCTAGTATCCGGCGGCACAGTCGAGTATATCCACGACTACACGTATAAGAACTCGTACGAAGTTCAACCGCCGACCGCCGAAGCCCGCTCGCACGGACCAAGTTTCATTCATGAAGAGGCTACCAGACACTCTCAGCCTGCGGTGCTGCATGCACCTCGCTGTGCCGTTCTGTTACGGATTAAATAAACACATTTACCCGGAGTATGTGAAATTAGGCCTAACCACTTTCACGATTTCATTGTCCGAAATCGGACCACAGACGATGGCTTGTTTGTTGACATCAATGCGTCCGATAGGCGAAGAATGTCCGGGGCTCGGCAATTCCTCGACCCAAGCTTCGTCAAGTGTGCGCGCCGCTCGGTTTCACAGCTGATCACTACCGCAACTACCGCAACTATGCACTCGCGGCCATTATGGCAGCGACTTGGCTGGCTTGGCTGGCTTGACTTGGCCTGACTGCTTGGCAGCAAAAGAAAACTGGCTTGGTGGCTCGCTAAATTGGACGCAATTCGAGATTCGCAGATCCGAAAACTGCAGGTGCATTGATTACGGGAGGGTAAAAAAAAAAAGCCCAAATATTGATGCCTGTTGTGGGGGTACGTTCATTACACGAGTGCGTTTATTATGCGAGTAATTACGGTACTCTTTCGGCCATTCCGAGGCTTTACGTGATGAAAACTCAACGGTGCATAATGAATCGCATTTTAATCTTTTGCAATAAACTATTAATTGTACTTTGCGGCATATAGTCCGGGGACTACACGTGTTTAAAAGTTTAAATTTACCCTATGAGGACTATCTACAGGTGCGGACTATACGAGGATTTGTTTTCTTCTAGATCGTTCACCGTGACACAACGTTAAGTGGTCTTGTAGCAGTGAGGCGCAAGTGGCTGGGGTAACCGAGAGTGATGAGACCCGCCAGCCAAGTGTGCCAGCCCAAGAAAGTCCCCTCTTCATTCCTCACAGCGTTTATGAATACAATCATCACCCAAACAGGGCGCCACAATTCAGAAACCATTCGGTCGCTACAAAAGCGCTCTACATCCCCTCTTCGGGAGCACTTTGCTCACAAGACCAAGAAGTTTAGAAAGAAACCACCGTAGTTTTGCCTTAAAATAAAACCTCTGGCAAACTTGCAACACACCACAGCCCAAATAAAAAAACAATGTGTCTTAGACGTTAACCATGGCAGAGGAGAAAAGCAAGCACTACAAGTCAGATCATTTAGGGGTAATTACACGCCTTCCATTACGGGAGCAACTCGACTGCGGTGCCCTTGGAGACGCTGGGGGTGCACTTGGAAATACCGGAGGTGAATAACCGAGTACTGTTGAGACCGGTTATCACAAAGTCAACGGAAATCACTTCACCACATCCGCTTCTTTGTCATATCTGGACTCCATAAAAGTAATACGAAAAAAAAAAAAAAAAAGAAGATAGCACGGGCCGTCACAGGCACATATTTATCAAACCTCCAGAAAGCGGTCGAGGCTTCCCTGCACGAGCCCTCTGCTAGATCGGAGCCGCTTCTCGCCAACAGCGAGAAGCTCCGATTGAGAAAAGATCCTGCAAGCTATGTACAGACCGTGTCGCCAGCTGCGACAGCTAATTTCTCGCTCGTTCAATTTATCTGCACCAGCCTGCACCTGCGCAGAAAATTGTAGCACGGTGCCAAAAAGTGCAGGGCAATGTACTTCCAGTTGTGTTTTCAGAAAGGCTGCACTCGTAAACAGAATACAGCAGTGTGCACACTAAGTGCAGGAGATGCAGGTAAATCGAACATAGCACAAAGTAAAATGCTAAAAAGGTGTCAGTGTCGCCTTCACAGCGTAAGCGTCGCGCAGCACACGAGCCCGGGCATGCCTGCTGGCAAGCCACGCACCTGTCTGCGCAGCTTGCACTGCAGTTCTCCGCAGGCCGCCTCTCGGTCGGCGGCCGCCCTCTCCCGCTCCTCGGCCATCCTGCGCAGCTGCTCCCGTTGGCCCGGACAGCGTTCGCACAGCGAACCATCCCTGGCTGCCCTCTCCAGCTCAGCGGTGCGCTGTGCCAGTGCCCTCGCCTGTTCCCGCAGCCCCCGACAGGTGGCGCAGCCAGCCTTGAGCAGCCTCTCGCAGTCCCGCTGCGCCGCATCCAGCCGCTCCTGCAGCGCCAGCACGCGCCAGCGCTGGCCCTCCTTCTCCTCCCGAAGACGACCACCCAGGCGCGCCAGCGTGTCCGCCGCGTCCGCGCTGCCCGCCGCGGTCGCTGAAGACGGCCTCTCCGCATCGTCTTGGTCGAGACACCGTGTGAGCCAGGTGTCGAGCAGCGCGGGAGCATCGCCGGTGAAAACTTGCGCCCGCCGGACCAACTCGTGTGCAGTAACCTCCGGTTCCTCGTCGGTTTTAGAAATACCGGGTGCGTCGCCGCGACGAATCGCTTCGAGGGTTCGTTCGACTCGCTCGCAGAGGTGCTTTGCGTAGCCGCGGAGCACGGCCGAGACGCAGGCGGCGGTCGCGAGGTCCTGCGCAATGGGGACAATCTCGCGGTCTAGGACGTCGTGCGGTAGATTGGCGGAGCAGTAGCTTTCCAACTCAGCAAGACACGACGACCGCAGGTCCGCGCGGACTTGTAGGTACGCCTCTTCGGCAGCGGACTCGAGTCTCTGCAGCAGTGTCGTCTGCCGCCGCGCCGTTGCGGTTGGAACGATGGCAAAGGGGAGGGCGCCGAGGGCGTTGCGGAGACGCCCGATGACCGTGGCGTACGCTGCCGAGACGGCCTCCGTGACTGTGCCGAGGACGGCCTCTTGTTCCACGGCGTTCTCGAGCGCGTCTGGTTCTAGATCCGAAGTTGGATGCACATCGAGGCACTCGGACAGCCTCCGCAGGACCAGGGCCCGCTTGCTCTTGTTGAAGCGCTCCGCCGCGGTAGTCAATTCGTCGAGGTGATGGAGTGCTGCGTCGAGCTCCGCCGCCAAAACTTGTGCACTCGTGGTACCGTCTTCTGCGAAGGATTGCGCGTCGGGGGCTTTTCCTCCGGCGTGCTTTCCATCGTCCTCTTCTGCGGTCGCACCGACGAGCCGGAGGTCGTGCGAGCACGCAACAAAGTCTAGCCTCTCCTCGAATGCAGAGACTAGTCGAGACGTCTGCCGCAGCTGTTTCACCAGGTCGTGGACAAAACCCTCCGAATTTTCCGCCACGACGGTCTGCAGTTCCGCAGTAGCGTCTCCGAGAAGAAGCAGGCTGCACGCCACAGACGCTTCCGCCGATTCCAGGAGTTCCGGCGCGCCGATGCGGTCGAGCAGGGACGTGGGAAAAGAGCTTACGCCGTTGGCCTCGCGAACTGCCAACAAAGCTTGGTGCAGCCAGGATAGAAGAGAGTCCAAGCGATGAGCTACACTGTCCAGACACTCCTGGTACGTCGATGGAAGCACGTCGGCATCCCGCTGCTCCGGCATTCGCAAGTCCGTCACACTCGCCGCCAGAGAGAGGCTATTCCATCCCAACCCGTCCCCTGCCCCCGGAGCCTCCGTCTGCAGACATATCCGTGGCCGAGAGAGCGGCTCGGGCGGGGGACGCTCCAGAGCCGACTGCAGCCGATGGTCCATGAGCTGCACTCGCAGGAGTAGGCCTTGGGACTCTCCCGAGAGGCTATCCAGCGACGCCCTCCTCCCGACGGGTGCTTCGACAACTGCCAGGTCGTCCGACGCCAGCTCGTTCCCGGCCCCTTGCAGTGCCTCCTCGAGCAGCGCAAACTTGTGCTCCAGCTGCGCGAGCTTGGCCTCGAGCTCCTTGGATGGACTCGCGGCCTCCTTTCCCTTGAGCGAGAGCCGCCGCTTCTCCTGCTTCGAGTCGGCGCGTGCCAGGCGCTGCCGGAGTTGCCTCTGCGCCTTTTCCGAGAGCGCGAGCTTGGCCGTGAGGTCGTCGATTCGAGCGGTCATCAGGGCCAGCTGCGAGGCGTGCATCTCCTCCGCACCCCGTGAGTCCCGCTCCAGGGCGAGGCAGCGCAGCTCCAAGTCGTCAAACGCATCCTGCGACCGCCTGAGCTCTCTCTTCAGCGCCCAGCACTCCTCCGCCGCACGTGCGAGCCGACCTTGCAGACACTCAGAGTCTGTCGTCGCCAATGCTTCCACCGGAGCACGTCGCAGAGCGCGCGCCGTGGCCTCGGCCTTTTGTTCGTTCTCGCGCAAGAGTGCCTCCAGCTCTTCACAGAGGCGCCAGAGCCCCGTCGCCCGTGTCGGGTCCTCTTCCGACGCCTTCCTCAGGCGATCTTTCAGCCCCGCCATCTTCTCGACGCTCGTGGACAGGAAGGCCTCCAGCGCTTCCAGCGATGCCAGCAGCGACTCGTCGCGTGCCGACGCCGGCACGAGAGCCCACGACGGCAGGTGGAAGGGCGCGCTGCGGAGGTTGCCGATCTCGCGGTCCCGCACCCGCAGCTGTTCCTCGAGCTCGGAGCAGCGAGACTCCAGCTTCTTGGTGCGGAGCTCGCGCAGCGATGACGACCGCCGCGACGTGCGAGAGACCGGGGGCCTTCGCGTGACCGGGCTCGTGTCTTGGACGACGCTGGGGGCCGTCACCTCCACTCTCGCGGTCACCGGGGCGTCCTTGAGCTCCCAGGGCCCGGCAGCTTCGGTCTTGTGCTGCGGAAAGCATCAAAAGACGGGCAGCTGTATGGGCTGGAAAAAAAACATTTACGGTCTTTCTTGCGGTGCAAAAATAAACGTCCCCAAATGTAGCACTAGCAGTCCAGATGAGATGCGAAAGGTTTGGAGCCTGCCGTTATCTGGATCCCGACAAATATTTTTCGTTTTTCTTTCATGTTTTAATTTTTTTTTTGTGTGTTTTATCACACATGCTGTCTGGAGGTCACGAGCCTTGACGTCTCCGCCAACTACGCTCTACCGCATTTAGCGGCTCCAGGATATCTGGTAAGCCCCCGTTTGTCGTGACCTTCAGTATTAGCAGAGACGCGCGGAAATTTCAACTGGAACTTAAGCGCATACTTTTGTATATCGAACCGTCAAACTATTTTACAATTCCCTTTGAATTCGATATATCCAGGTTCGACCGTAAGACGAGAAATTTAAATAGTGCAATACCCCTGCACGCCAGTGCGATGCTCGTCCAGATCAAGCAGGGCTGGGGAATGAGCCCAGTATCCAAGTCCTGCTGCGCAAGCATTCGTTCCACGTGCTCCGAGCTGGTGCGCATTAACCCGCTTGGCCAGTGACCCTCTTTTCAATACGTAGAGATGAAGGTCCTTGTAGGATCGTGTCGGAGAGAAAGAAAAAAAGGAGACGTGCTTCTTTCTCTCCTTTTTGACACAATCCCTTCATTTATTTACGTATTTACGCCCCATCTTAGTTGCCAATGTAACATGGAGTCCTGTCATGCATTCCTCTATCCGTCGTCTTGCTTCCTCTCCTTTCAACACAAACCTATAATCTCGACTATTGGGAATGGGCACCATTTTCCTATTGCGCAAATAGTGGATTTTAAGATCGAAGGAAATTGTGCTTTGGCCAAACATTTTCAAATCGAATAGCTTCTCTGAGCCTTTTAATACTGCCGCACCATTCTTAAAGGGGCCCTGCAATGACGTTTTTTTAGGCATGGGCGAATAGACGATTTTGGGTCCGAATCGAATTCGAAGCGAATAGTGATTTTGGTCGAATAATTTCGAATCGAATAGTTTGAATAGTTCAAGCAAAAAATACCACAAGATATGTTTAAACTATAGTTTTATATTTGCCCTTATTTGGTATAGATATACTGTAATTGTTAATTTCAAGCGTATAGAGTTCGGTAGCACGAAATGGTTGAAACGGTCGGTAGCTTGTGCCACCTGGCCGTAAAATCCAAGCCAGAGTAAGTGGAACTCGTTTATATCGACCTCGCAAAAAAACGTCTACCAGTTCGATATAGCGGGTAATTCGATATCAAACCTTCAATAAATTTGACTCTCAAAAATCCACTTTCTGCTGAAATACTACACAATGAAGTCGTCTTGCATCTTCTGCTGCTTTCTCTTCATTCCATCTGCGATAATGATATCTTTCTGCGCTATCGACAGACTCCAAAATGCCGAGGCCGCTGCCTTCTATATTCGCGCATTAGCGCCGAACTATGCCGAGAGCACGGGGCACGTCCAATGGGACCACCTTCTCCTGCAGAGCGCCGTTGTGCTCTGCAAGTTGGCTTTCCCCTAAAAGTTGTGGCTGCGTTGGGGGAAGCCAACTAGCAAAACAAGCTGCCTTCTTTTTTTTTTCTGCGCTGCCGCGTCCATTCGGAAGAAAAAATAATATTCTCTTCTGCCGACGAAGCGGGGAGAGGGAGCACGGAGCACTCTCTGTCCGCAAGATATATTTTCTTTTCTTCTTTATTTAATGATTACCCCGCAGTGCCCGGGGGCGTTACAGCAGGGGAAGGATGAAAAGAACACGTCTTCATTGAAACAGCACACTTGCTCTTCAGACAGCCGATTCCACTGTACAATTGCTCGTACAAAAAAGGAGTTTGCAAACATGCAAACTCCTTTTTGCAAACTCCCGACTTCTGGGCGGTCGACGCGGCCGCCGGGAAAAAAAAAAAAAGCCAGCATGCTCTACAAGCTGGCTTTCCCACAATGCGGCCGCGCGCGTTGGGGAAAGCCAGCTTGCAGAACAAAACGGCGCTCTTGGCAGTTCAATATATCGGTAGCGGCAGCTATTTTTGTTCGATGCAACCATAGTTTTTGCTATATATTGTCGCTGTAACATTACTGTGCACGAAAATTGTTCGATATAAGGAATAATTCGATGTAAACGGGTTCAATATAGTCGGGTATGACTGTATTTAGAAAGGTTGAATAATTCTATATTTTCAAATAATTCAATATCGTCGAATAATTTGATATTGTCAAATACTTAAATTCGATTCGAAGCAAATGCCGAATAGAACGGAATTCGATTGGCTATTCGTAATAACCGAATATTCGCCCATCCCTACTTTCTTTACTCATTTTTAATTTGCACCGAACCTGAGCGCACTGAACGTAGTAACTTTGTGAAACTTTTTTTTTTCTCGAAATTCCCATTATTTTAAAAGTTATAGGCAAACTAAAATTACAAAAACAAGCAAAAAATAACCTCCCTCATGACGTCCTTGGTTGCTTGAAAGTGGCCGTAAACTAGAGGACAAGTAGTGAGCTCATCGAGCGCTCACCGCTGCCGCACTCTGTGTCGACGGCGCAAGAGGGCGCCATTAAAGCGTGTTCTGGATAGGCTGTATGCAGCAGGCAGCCAGAGCGGCTCTCATTGCATTTTCTGCGTGATTAAATACAAATTCGGCATGACTCTTCACCGGCCACAAACGACAGCGAAAACGGCCACAAACGACACTAAATGTCAGTTCAGAATGGGAGCTACTTTGCGCTGCCATACCGCGAAACGGCCAAACCGCAAGACAAAGCTTCTCGCCGAAGGCCTTCGGAACGCTCGGAGCCGGTCGGATCCTCCTGCCCATACGACCGCAGCGCCGCCGCGTACATCCAGGACTTTTCCGTGTCGGCGCCTGATCCCACTACTCCTTTCTAGTATGCGCCGCCTTTTCCATTGCTTGGTGGCGGGTATGTCGACGGGTCATTTCTTGTTTCCGTACTTTATAAACTGCATTTGTTTCTTTTCTCATCTAAAATACTGAACAAAAACTACTTTTATAAATAATTGAAACGGTTCGCGCCGCTTATGTTTTGTATTTCGACCAAAAAAGAAGCTTTTAGCAACTCTGACCAGTAGTAAGCCCAGGACCAAAGACGTCACATTTTGCGCGCTTTCGATACCGCGGGTCGCCCTCGTCGGTGGAGGAGGTTTCCGCGTCGTCCGGTTAAAATATGACGCACTGATATTTAGTTACTCTCTCCGTGCCCGCTGGCTTGCCCGAACCCCAAGAGACGTGGAAACCGCAAAAAAGGTACACGCTTAAATATGATTGCAGGGCCCCTTTAAGGTGCAACCCCACTCTCTGTTTGTGTGACGCTGAACCACTAGATGGCGATGGGATCGGCTTCCAGACTCGTACATCGATGCGATAGATCAGGTGGGGTGGCGCTTGGATACAGTGTGATATTTTTCTATGTCCTGAAGGTGACATCCCTGGACCTTTGCTTGTTTTACATGGAGAGAGCTTTCTGTGGAACGTGCGTGGCTGCACCAGTTTTTGTGCAAAGGAAGCAGCTGCCTACGTTCTGAGCTCGTGCCCCCGGCCAATGTGGTCGAAACAAAACGTGCAAAACTGAGCTAATGGCGAGACACATGCAAAACGAAACCAAAAAAAATATAAAATTGCCCGGGCTCAATTAGCACACTAGGAATTTCGGAGACCAATTCCACATATTTCAATGTGGTCAGATTTATAAGATGGGCCGGCCATTTCGTTGCGCGTGTGTTTGGCTCTCTTTGGAGTTCCAGAAAAACGAGATGATGTGATAGACATGGGCTTCCAAAGCTCAAGAAATTATATACCTCGAGAACTAAACAAATAAACTATTTTCTTTTGGTCATGTGTCTCATTTAGGTCACTTAGATGTTTATTCTGACTAAAACGACGAGACTCGAAAACTAGGGGTGCGCGAATATTCGAGATTTGAATTTAGACCAAACAGTAATTGACCGAATAATTTGATTTAACTTTCGAATACCTACTATTCGAGTTCTCAAACATACCATCCATTCATTCATTCATTCAGAGCTGCATTAATTAATTATTTTAGTCAATCATTTTCACCAATACATTTTAGACTGAATTTGTTTTTCTTTCTCGTAAAAGTGTATTGTTGGCCTTTGCTTTTTCTTTTGTGTTCTTGTTTTGTTGTTGTTCTTGTCCACTCCCCTCTGTAATGCCCTCTGGGCCCTGAGAGTATTGAAATAAATAAATAAATTAATTAATTCGACACTTCGAATTTCAGTACTGCTAGAAAAATCAAAATTTATTCACAAACATTGCCAGTATCGTGACAGAGTGCCAGCAAGCCTCTGCTAGATTTAAATCAAGCTAGGGTTGGAAGAAACTTCACTGACTGACCGTTTCAAGAAAAAGTGCTTCATTCCTTGTATTCCTTTAAACCAAATGGTCGATATCAAACTTTTACGCCGTGCCAGTCATCAAACCATGCACGCCGCCATTTTGAATTTTCACGTCGCCTGCCACCTGCTGCCAGTTACCGTATTTACTCGAAAATAGGTCAACCACGAAAATAGGTCGACCCCTATTTATTGAACCCACCGAGAATAAAAAAAAAAAGAATAATTCAAATATAGGTCGACCTTTTTTTTTTATTTTTAGGAACAGGGGAAAGTTTGGGCAAAAGAAAGAAACCAACCTTTATTTACAGCACTCTCAGCTAAATCACGGGGTGATGCCAAAAACTTAATCACTGTCAGAACTTCCGGACATGTCATCGTTGTCCGAAGCTTCATCAGCTTGGTAGACATCCTCGCAAATTCGCAACAATACCTCCCTTACAAGGTTGTAAAATGACGACAAGAAGAAACAAAAGAAGGTGGAGATGGGCGAAGTGAGGAAAAACCAAATACAAAGACGCAAGCGACGCCGCGAGTCGAGTTGCTATAAGCAACACGCGAGCCGAGCCGCTCAAGCAACAAACAAAAGTAACCTCCGTTTTTTTTTTTTTTTTTTAGCGCGTTTGCGAGGGATGGAGGGCAAAGTGCATGGTGCATCATGTTCCTCTCCCTCCCCTTCCCCGTCGCCCAGCGAGGGGAACGCTACAGGTGCGATGGCGAAACCCAACGCCCGAGGGATGCGCGCGAGAATGGCAGCGGCGCGGCCACCGCAGGCGGGCCGGCTTTCGGCTGTTACTGTGCTACTGTTTCGGTTAGGGATGCCACGAACCACCCTAGGTTCGATTTCGAAAGATTTCTATATTTTCTAACCGAAATGATGTTCGAATTCGAAAGGTTTCGATATTTTCAACCGTACAGAGATTCGAATTAAAAAAATTCACAACTTTCAAAAATCGTGGAGTTTCGAATTCGGAAAGTTCGAAGCTTTCACGATTTCTAAAAGTTTGGGTTCGATTATTTTGAATATTTTTTTTTTTACGTAAGGTTCAAAAATTTAAAAGATTTAGAACTTTCCCAGCTTGAAATTCGAGAGATTTGAATGTTTCGTATTTCTTTGAATCTGAAATTCGAAAAATTTGAACGTTTCGAATTTTTATAGACGTGAAGTTCGATAAATTCGAAGATTTCGAATTTCTTCCTACATAAAGTTTGAAGGTTTCGATTCTCTTTTAGCGCTAAATTTGAAAAAAAAAACTTAAGTTTCGAATTTCTTTAAAGTCCAAGTGCGCAAAGTTCGAAGTCCGGTTTTCATGTTCCGCCAGCAGTTTCAGTTTTGAATAACGTTTTCACGCCTCACTGGCTTTCACGAAATCAGGTTTAGAAATGTTCGGGTGTGATATTCAGATTGCGCGAAGTCGGTCAGGCAATTAAATGAGACGACGAGTGTCCCGGATGTGCTGGATTATTTGCCAGTGCAGAGTGACGTGTGCAGATCAGTAATTGTGGCCACCAGCCCGGGGGGGGGGGGGGGGGGCTTTAACATGCATCATGCAGTAGTGATCACACGAACACACTGTTTAACGATACTCTTCCAGTTCGAAACGGCCAGGGGCAGGCAGGTGGTTGAGGGTCACTTGAGACTAAGAAAAACCTTGAAGCTATCTGGCAAACTGCCTCCCCACCCCCTTGCACGCTGGTAGTAATCCGCTCGAACGCCGCCCGAGTGACGCCAGCATATAGTAAGTTTACTTTGTACATGATGCAAAATCCTGAGACTGGGAATGAAATTTTAAAGAAATAATAATAATAATAATAATAATAATAATATTTATTTTGGTTCAGGAGAACCGCGGTGCCGCAGAAAGGCAAGTAGCCCATACCAGGAAGGCCTGCGGCGCCGCATCTAGGGACGATGGGATGAGATTGTGTACAGATGACGTGTAAGAAGACAGAAAAAAGGCGACACGACAACCTCTCAAACTCAGCTCAGGACAACGTCTCAAACTCAACTCAGCTGAAAACTCAGCTCAGGAATAACGTCTCAAACTCAACTCAACTGAGTTTGTGACTTTGTCCGCTCCCCTTCTTTCTTCTTACACTATTTTTTTCAAATTTCATTCCCAGTCTCGGGATTTTGCATCATGTCAACATACACCAGCTCGCCTGCACCTTGACCATTTTTTGGTTCGTAATTGTTTTGGAGGTTTATTTTCGGAGACGGCAGAAACGCTGAGCAAAAAGCACAGAAGCCGACACAACTTGAGGTTGAGGAGCGTTCTACCATACCAGCAGCAGGGGAAAGGGGGGGTTCCACTCTTTCCCCTCCCCCCCCAGATATTTCGGACTGTTAAAGAAAACAATACGGGGAAAGAGGGCATAGTCAAGCTTATTTTAATCTGAAATTATGCATGCATATGTATAGCTACTGTCGCTCTTCACTGCATAAAAGTTTGCGTAGATGGTCATTGTTAGAAACTCGTCAGAAGGTACTACTCGTCACATGCTCAGTGGTTCGGAAGTTCAAAGCTGTCTTTTCGACCTAAATAATTGTGCCATTGGGAAACATATTAAATAAATAAACATAACAATAAATGCAAAAATAAAAAGCTGGAGAAAAAAAACTATCAAGAATCCGCCGGAAGTGTGGTATGCTTGCATATTCAGAGGCCCTGAACTATGACACAAGTTTCTCCTACCAAAATGTGTACAGGATAAAAGAAACACGTCCCAAAAAAATGAAATAAAAAAAAAAAAGAAAAAAAAAAAAAGTTTTTTTTGTTTTTTATGATGTGCCAAATTTGAACAATATTAGAAATCTTTTTCCCTGAGTTAATTTATTCCTCGACGTGAAAATAACAATATATACATTAATTTGTATTCTGCAGATAGTAATGATATGTACTGTCTGTGGTGTTAATTTAAATGCGATACCTCAAACAATTTCGCCGAAAAAAATTACCAAATTTAGGGCATAATTGCCCGTAGATACATATTTGGATATTTCTTCGAAACTCATCTTGAACAATAATCATATCTTAAGACGACACTTATCTAGGTTATACATTGATCATTCTTAAAAAGTTTAACATCTCTACCATGAATAGCTTCGGCTATAGCGCGCTTCAAATATGGCAAAAACTACAACTGTCAAAAACCCGACGTCCTTCCTCGCTCCTTCGTGAATCTATTTCTTTAAGACCAAGTATGCCGGATGATTGACCTAAACGGCATTGTCTTTCGCAAAAAATGCGGCACCAAATGTAAAAATGCGAGAAAAAAAAATTACGAATGTACCTCACATCATCCAAATGAAACCGCCCGCCCGTCTTTCGAAGTTCGACAAACTTCGAACTTTTACCCTAAAAATTTTAAGTTGGTTGAACTTTTGACTTTTCAGGAATCGAAAGTTCGACAATTATCGAATTTCTTACTGTAGGAAGTTCGAAAGTTCGAAAAGCTTCAAACTTTTTAGTGCAAGAAATTCGAAAGTTCGAAGATCATTGAATTTTTTAGTCTGTCAAGTTCGAAAGTTCGACAAGCATCATATTTTGCAGCATACTAATTTCGAAATTTCGAAAAGCGTCAAACTTCTTAGTTTAACAAGTTCGAAAATTGGACTTGCGTCGAATTTCTCGATATGAAAAGTTTGAAAATTCGAAATCTTTCGAACCGCTTGATTCTATCATCAAAACTTCGATTAGAAAAAAAGTTTGCGGCATCCCTAGTTTCGGTTGTTTTCGTGCACCAAAAGCTTTTTGAAACAAGAAGCGGTGCGGCTCTACGGCAACGCCGGCTCGGTGACTCGATAGCTCCATGCCTCCGGTAGGGTCGCACAATTTGGTCGCGAATGTAGGTCGAAATTCTTTGGTCACAATTTCCGAAAATAAAAAGGTAGACTTATATTTGAATAAATACGGTATGTACAATATAAACTTAGTTAAAGAGACAAATGAGCTTAGTTGTAGAGCTTGTCTAGTTCTACGTTCAGAACACAACAATGGATAACAATTTGGCCTTCTCCCTTCCTTTCCCATTTTTGTTCTAACGCTACGGCGTCATGGCGTCACTGAGCAACTCCCCCTACTCCACCTGGCTCCGAGCGTTCCGAGTCGCCTCGGGAGAGGTGCTAGTCAAGCTCTACTAGACTCTACTTGCGAGGCGTAACCAGGCGACTTAATAATAACCGGACTTTGGAGTTGTTAGCGGTACTGGCTTGGTGACGCAAGACGCCGCCCTGTGCGAAGTGATACAGTCGTATCTCGTTAATTCAAACTCAACGGGGGCCGAAAATTTGTTTGAATAACGCAAAGTTTGAATTATCGGGAGTTTCCTCCCATAGAGACGCATAGGATGGGACCCGCATGTTGTTTGAATTATCCGCAAGTTTGGATTAAGAGAGTTTGAATTAATGAGAGTCGACTACAAACGATAAAAAGGGCCACTGCCGTCTATCTTTCCATGGTTTTAGGCTAGGTGGTGCAAGCTGCCGCCTCCTACGAAGGTGGCAGCTTTTCATGCCACGCTACTGACGCTACCGCTTATCTATCCATCTTCGTATGTAACGTTCGTGGTTCGTTGTTTCCACGTCGCCATTCCTGCCGTTTTTCTATAAGTTAATTGTTCTTTGTTGCGCTGTGTCCGGTATCCGCCTGGCATAAATCGCCAACAAAAAAAAAAGAAAAGTTTCGTTTGGACTTTCTTCGAAAAATCAACGGCATGCTCTGCAGTTTGCAAAACATGAAACTCAACTTTGAAGACACCCCCAGTACGCAGCCAGGATTACAACCCGCAACGTCATTGCGAGAGGAAAATCTTGGTTGTTACGACGAAAGCCAGAAGACGCCGAAACATCCGAAGGCTAATACCGACAGAAGGAGAGGAGGTCACCCACCGTGGAGGGGTCCCAGCTCCCAGAGCGGTCGCTCAGCGCCGTCTCGTCCGGCTCGCAGCTCGGCTCGGAGGGCTCCAGCATGGGCGAGCGCAGGCGCCTGCTCTGGCGGGACCTCGAATTGGAACGCGACCTCGCTCTCTCCTTCACCCTGCAGGCAAGCCGGGGCACTTTTTCAACTCAGCACGTGACAAACCTTCCACCGCCAGAGGTCGTCCAAAGGACGTAGCGGAATGCGTCCATGGGTGCCCCGTATCGTGTCAGATGGGATAACGTACGTAAAAGTAATTGCGTTGCGTGTGGGGTTAGGCATCGTGAGTGCCTCTTTTGCCACCCATCCGATACCTTAGGGCCTCTGGAAGCTGGGGCGAGGTACGAGTTCCAAGCAAAGTTTATTCGTCCATTCACGTAGCATCTGTGGAAGCAAAAATTCGCACCTTCCCCACGCGGCGGTGGGAACGCAGAATGTATCGCTTAGAGGCAAAGTTACACGGATGAAGATTTGTTTTTCCTTTGTTCCCCTTCTTGAGGGATTATTTTTGTCAGAACCCGGTGCGCATTTTGTGCTGCTAGAGCCACTGTTGCAACGGAATGCAAAGTTTGCATTCCATAGCTTTGAAACAAAAAAAAAAAAAAGCCTCCAACTGGAGCCTGACCTCGAATAAGAAAAAACCCAACTTTCGCTGGAAGATATCTTTATGTAATGCGGAGGTTGTCTACCACCTACCGTATTTACTCGCACAATGAACGCACTCGCGTAATGAACGCACCCCCCAAGTCGGCTCTCAAAATTTTGACTTTTTTTTCACTCGCGTAATAAACGCACCACCAACTCGGACATCAAAATTTTGACCCCCTCCGCCCACGTGGGCGAAGTGAACACACTTTTCAATCCTGGTGCGGCAGCCTGGTCAAACAAAATGCCTTGCAAGAGGCGTTAAAAAATTCGCAAAGATCCAACTGAAGCAAGAAAAAAAACATGGAGAGGAGCTTTTTTTTTTTTGCACAGCGCAGTCTGGACTTTTGGTTCGCGCGCTGCCGCGCGCAAGGAGTTAAGAAAGAGAAGCGAAGTGCTTTAAGCGAACGAAACAGCTTGCGAAAAGCGCAAAAAAAACCAAAAAAAAAAAAAAAACCACGGAACTAAGAAAACAAAAACAAGAGAAACTTTTTTTTTTTTCTTTTTTTTCTTTTTTTTTTTTGCACAGCGCAGTTTGGTTACGGGGGTCGCGCGCGGCGCGCAAGGAGGTAAGAAAGAGGAGCTGAGAAGCCCTCTAAGCAAACGAAACAACTTGCGAAAAGCGGCAAAAAGAAAAGAAAAAAAAAAAAAAACGACCGAACTGAAAAGGAAAACGAAAGAAGAGGAGCTTCTTTTTTCTTCTTTTTTTGCACAGCGCAGTTTGGTTACGAGGGGGGGTCGCGCGCCCCGTGCAAGGAGTAAGAAAGATAAGCCGAGAGCCCTCGCCTAAGCAAACAAAACAGCTTGCGAAAGGCGGCAAAAAATATCCCCAAAAAACCAAGGAACTAAGAGGAAAAAAAAAAAACAAAGAGAAGTTTTTTTTTTTTTTTTGCACAGCTTAGTTTGGTTAGGGGGTCGGGCGCCGCGCGCAAAGAGATAAGTTACTCCGATTGTTTAGGATAAAAGGTCCGTTCATTCTGCGAGTAAATACGGTACATTTCAGGGACCCCCTCTAGATTGGTGGAAACAGGTGGGGGACTCCATCTGCTGGGGGTGGGGGGAGGGTTTGGGACATTTACATTGACAAAACGATAGACGAAGAAAAATAAATAAATACTTATTGCGCGTAAAGCACCTTTGAAGCTTTAAAAGGTTAAAAGTGCAAAACAAGACAAGGATGAAGAAAAATACATACACAACAGAGACAGGCACTAACTTGCGACTGATATTTTATCCCAGTCAGTCAAACCAGCGCACATGCGCGAAGTTGTCACTCGTGCCTCCACTTCAGATTAAAAAGCACAAATGACACAATTCTACAATTCTACACACGTGTCCAAATCCTAGACGACCAAATTCCAGATGACACGTCTAGACGAAACCGTCCAGAAAAGAAACCTCTCCGTTACTAAGCAAAATAGATGGCGTGCTAACGCAGTTGATCAGATGCTCTAAATCAACTGCGTTAGCAGATGCTCTGATAAAAAGCGCCTCAACTATCTCTATTTCAGTCTTTTAAAATAGCTAGTTTTAAAAGGGATTCACACCTGCAACGCATGCACTGAACCGCAAGATGCCCCCCCGACTTCTTACAAACCGCCAGTCGATGGTCACACGTCCTTTCATTAAAACATCACCCCGTCTGTGCTATGTAAACGTGCCCTCATGCTAGCGGTATCTTGTAAGCAACATTAGATGTGCAGGCTGTAAATTGTGTGACATACTTCTTCGAACACTCGACACGCCTCTCCCTTGTCGTCATAGGACAAACTTTTGCCAGCCTGCATGGCGCAGAAAAAACATTAACTTTGTACATTGTAAAACCCGAGACGTAGGACTTTTGTCCTACGTCTCGGGTTTTACAATGTTGAAAGTTCACCAGCTCGCTTGCATCTTCTCTGTAATTTCTATATTAACTTTGTATTTTACAGCTATCTTCTTCGGATTGTGTGACAACCTATGCAAATAAGAAATCACTTGAATCTTTGATTTCTTAAGTTTGTTTTGTTGACCATCACTGCCAGTGTAACGCCTGATTCTTTGAAGGATGCTTTCGCACACACTGGAAATCAAGCAGGCAGGGTAACCTGCATCGTTTAAGCACTCTATCTGTTGATTAAAACTCGTTGCTACTTTGTGCTGGCAACTTTTTGACGAGGCAGCCTGAAGGCAGGAAGAGGCTATGACTCTTTTTATCAACTTGAAATGTTTACCTAAAGGATGGTTACCACACTCGCTTACGACCGAGTTGCAGCAACCTGGAATTGCTTTTGACTATATACGTGTGCTATCTACGAGAAATGGTCGTATATAACATTGCCACGCCCCGGTGAAAGAACAAAGTAGAACATACACGGCGAGTGTCCCACCTAACAGATGGTGCCAGCATGTTCTTTCGACCTTCGTTACAGAGAGACTGCCCCGTCGGGGAGGGTCGCGTTTGCGATAAAGGCTGCCGGGAGGTGCCCTCCATCGTCTTCCTCCTCTCTGCCACGCGACAAAGTGGCACGCGCGTACTTCCGACCAAGCTCAGCGGGAGGCGCCACATTGCGACAGTTGGACCCCTCCTCGATCTAGGCTAAGAGACGGCAACGAGTCGGTTGTAAGCGGTCGCGAGCGCGTGCCTCGAGCCCGCCCACCTCGAGATGGCGGTGCGGTTGAGGGGCGGCGAGGGCGGCAGGTTCCTCGAGGGCGAGTCCAACCCGTCTTCCTCTTCCTCCTCCTCGTCGTCCACGATGGAAAAGTACTCCGAGTGGTCGTCGCTCGAAGAGGTCGCCTCTGCGCGGGCCGCAGGGGGCGGCTCCTCCGAGGGGGTCTCCTCCGGTGGGGCCGGCGGGGATGGCGGGGAAGGCGGAACTCTGGCCGGTGCCCGGGGCGCCTCCCCGCTGCGGTTCTGCACCGCCCGGCGGATGGCTTGAACCCAGTTGGTGCGGATGCCCGCAGTCACTGCCCGCAGCACCACCTCCCCTTCGTCCCGGAGCTGCGACGGTGGGGCACTCGTTAGACGGTCTTTTTGCTGCCGAGTCGCTTGTTAGCGAGTCGTTCGCTAGGCGGCTTGGATCGCTCTGGAGCCCAAAAACGCAAGGACTTTCCTGGGCCAAATGATGAATCGCTTCTCAGTTGCCTAGAGTTTTCCTCAGATGCATCCTCTGAGAACAATGTTAAATTTTTGTGGAATATCTGTCATTTCTGCCAATTTTATCCCCAATAAAACTAAAAATGTGAGAATCCTCGGGTGACACGCAAAATAATTCATCTAGCATAGAAAATAAAACGTAATTAAAGGGGTCGGTTTCACACTTCCTCCCTTCCCAATCAATTTAAGGCAATCACTAGCTGAATAAAATGTGCCCAAATAAACAGTCTTACTATTCCAACATGCTTAAATTAAAAAAAACACCCACAGCCCCCAAAAATCTTTTTTTTAAAGTTTTTGTTAGGCGATTTAATGTGGTGTCGGAAGACTACGCAATAAATCTTTTGCTGCAGAGTCACATATATTTTTAACAAAGCCAAAATAATTAACTGCTGGAAACCAAAACACGACACGGAACCTCAAGGCCAGAAGTCACGTGGCTACACATTTTATTTCTGCTTCTCCAGCATTTGAAGCAGACGATGAAAACGACGAACTTTTATGCAGCATCTGTCGTGCGATTGTTTCACACTTATATCCTCTCTTCTCACAAGAAGTGCTTAGGTCCACCACGAGCCTTTTTTTTTTTTTGGATCAACGTATTTGCAGCTTTTTAGAGGCCAGAAAAATGAGAATAAGACATCCTTCTTCCCTCGGAAACTGCCGAAATTTCGGTACGACAGATACACCACTTAAAACCAGCTTCTGCGCTTTTTATCTCATTACCGCATTAGTGGTTCGGGCTCCTCGAGCGAAGAGTCCACAAGATCATATTTTAATTCCGTCGAGTGGCGCAACGTCCGGTGGCATGCCGGTGCGTTCAAAACGCGCAGCTTACTTTGCTATTGGCAGCATTGGCAGGAGCCATCAGAATTTCTTCTATGCAGGCTAAATAAAGTCTATCCCTTCGTAAAGTATCCCCATTTTTTTCAAAAAGTTGTTTTTAATTAGTGCAAAAATTCCGAAAACTAGACAAAGACGTTTCGAATATGCAGAAATAACAAAAAGACACATATTGAGACGCTCGCCAGTTTTTTGCGAGTACCTGGGCACTCATCGGCCCTATTCCGGAATGACGTTCGGGATGTCAGAACGAAACCGGTGGGAGATTTATTTCTGCCCTTTAAATCAGCTGCTCTTGCCGTGCACTAGCCGTTCTCCTAGGTCAGTTTGGCGTCCCCCTTTTTTTTTTTTGTTATTGTTTCCACACCAGTGCACTCGAGCGAATGAGTCCGTGCGTGCTGCCGACGTTACCTCGAGAAGCATCGTAGGCTTAACGAGCCGGATGCACTTGCCCGGAATGCCAGCAACGGTTTAAACTGGATGACGTGCCCGAGGTACAGTTAATTACAATTCAGGACGGCCTCACCTGTAAGCTGTGTACAATCACGGACTAGTCGTCCTTCCAATCAATTATTTGTTTATATTACGTCACAAAGCTAAAATGTTTTGCTCGGTTTTTAATCTTAATAACTCCCAAAATAAATCATATTTCCAGAAAAAAAGTTTCTCCTCCATGTTACTACGTTCGATGAGCTCTGTCTCTGTGCAGATTTCAAACTAGTCCAAGAATCGTTATGGGGTTCCGGCCCGACCTACGAAAAGCTTTTCCACAAGCTGTCTCGCTCTCTTGCTGCTATCTTGAGGGTGGGGAGACTCCTTCTGTTGCTGCATCTTGGTGTTGGATGAACCGGGATAAGCTCCTGGCTTATCTAGCCCCAAGACCCAGTTGGTAGAGCGCTTGTCAACTTATTTTATCGTTTTTTCTTACTAGGTGCGTGTCAGTGTTTTCTCGCAAAATAAGCTAGACAAGAGCTAGGTGCGGACCTTATGGGAGGTTAGGATTCAATCCTTCCAAAAGACATTTTCCATACATGAAGACAATCAACTCCATCGCAATTGGCTGGTTACAATTTGCGATACCGTTCTTAAAAAACAAATTCGGACGCAGTTGGTAACCTCCATGTGAGGAAAAGGTGCGCTGGAAGAATTCAATCCCCCCGTTCCGAAGCGGTTGGAATATGCGAGACCTTTCCCTCTAGTGTGTCCCTCCCGCTTAATGACGTCGTCCGGGGTTCCTCACCAGGACCGCAAAGGCGTAGCTGCGCTCGACGCCGTCCAGCGTGACCACGTCCCGGACCCTGCGCAGGTCCAGGCCGGCCCCGGCCCCCGCCTCCTCGGCCGAGGGGTCTCCGAAGTGCGCCAGGGAGGCGTTGCGCAGCACGAACCAGTGCTTGGACCACTCCCCCTGGGGGCCCAGGCGCAGCAGCCAGCCCTTCTTCACAAACAGGTCCTCTGCGGGGGGGCCCTCTGGGGGGCCCCGGGTCACGTGGCCGTCGGCCGGAGAGACGCCCCCCTGGCCGCAGCCGTCCGGCACGCCCCGAGGCTGGGGAAAGAGAGCAATCTCAGCGGCCGGCTTCGCTGCCCGCGTCTCCGACTCTTTCGCCGTCCAAAGAAGTCCCCAAACGGCAACGTCGCGCGAGCTGCGCCTTCGGATGTTCCCATCACGACGGCGTCCGGAAGAAAGCGCGGGAGAAGGCAACACGACCGCCCGTCTGGCAAGTCTACCACCTCTGCTCTGACCACCAACGCGGTCGGTGTAATACTTTTTGCGTCGGGCGTAAATCGGAGACCGCCGTTTTGAAGGCGGCAAACAGTCCGAGACGCATTCCAGACGCCCCAGTTACGCCGCCGCATCCCGGAAAGTGCCATCTTTCTGCACGCGCGATGACGCTGCTGCGGGTCTGCACGAGCCCAGCACGAGACGGCACCCGCCCCGCTGCCTCTCGTGCCCATCTCACGCTGCCGATTAGTTGCGGCAGCGTGAGATGGGTCCATTTGATTGGTTCCTCCTTCGCAGAAGGGAAAACTCATCTAATGTCAAACTAATGTAAAGTCGGTAGCGCGTAGAATGCCACGGGCAGTCCTAACGTCATGAACGAGACTTAACGAAACGAATGGACGTAACGTTACAAACAGGGACGTTGCAGACAGATCTCATGTCGCAGGCAGCTGTAATGTCACGGACCGACCTAACGACGGGACCGAGGTCGGACACGTGTAATTTCACGGACAGATGTAACGACGCAAATAATGTCGCAAAGAGACAAACCATCACCGAAGGAGTGTACATTCCGCTAAATTTGTCGCGTGACACCGCGACACCCATCAAATATTCTATGGTCATAAAAGATAGCCTAAGCGTCTTTTTTGTGTCGGGTTTTCGCTAAATAGCCGGTCCTATAAGATATTCTGCATTTAAATACATTTCTCAATGCCCCCCTATAAAGCAACAAGAAACGCCGAAAAGATTTTTTACGGTGCACCGATGGAACTCGTTTCTCACAAAATAATCTTTCTAAATAAAAAGGTAACCTTTTTTAGTGCTACATTTACGTCGCAAGACTCGCCTGAGGAAGCATGACATGTACTTCCCCTTTGCAGTCGACGTCTCGAAAGAGGAGAGTATGCATTTTTAAATCTCTAAACTCAAAACAAGCATCTGTTCACCCATAAAAAAATTTTTTGGGAGGTTTATTTTGTGACATTCTCACACTTAGAAAACCTTGAGCGTGCTGACAAAACCCAAGAAGCACAAAAAAGGTCCAAAACTCTCGCCAACACGTTTACATTCGAGCGAAATCCTCCGGATGTTAGCACCTCGATGAAGCGCGCAACGAGACAGTGGCACCATGCTCCTAGCAGAGGCATTTCGCATTCAACGACTGCTGTAGACAAGCAGCCAACCTCAGTTTCTAAGGCACGTCAGCTTACCCGAGCACAGTGCTATACAAAATGTTCAGATTAACACCCAATGCTAGGTAACTTCTTTTTACGACCTGGAAATCGAGAACACAGATCCCCTTGTGTGCCAGCCAGAACCACCGCAATCGTCTCAAACCCGGGACGTACGCTCGATCAGTCGGCGAGAGAAGGGCAATCGTAACCGGCTACAACGGTCCCGGAGTGTTCGTCCCAATTGCTACGATGCTCGTTTCGACGCTCGTTCGTGACCACTTGCTCGTACAGGACGAGTCAAAGGGTTCGATGGCTGCATAAACCTCAACGTACGAAATTTGACAGGGTGGACATTGGGGCGAGTTCATAGGAGTTGGTACTGAAAAACAGCACGACTGGGACAAGGACAAAGACAATGTACGAGCGCCAACTGGCAACTCAAATCTTATTAAAACAGAAACGCAAAATTCACGCCGATGCTCGCGCAGGCATTGGCACCACGTGATTTTGAAATGATTCTTTCGTTGCCTCAAGTGCTAACCCAAATAAAAAAAATCAATTTGATGTCCGTGAGGGACCGGCGACTGGCTTACGCGCAAGGACTTGTTTTTACAGCAGAGCTATTAAGGGCTAGTTTCAACAGTTTCGTAGTGTCCGTCAACAAATAACTGTCGACACAACACTCTGGACAGCTACCGTCATCTGTGAGCGACGGTGGCAACCAGACAACCGGATTGCTGCCGTCGCTCATAGATGGCGGCAACCTTTCCAGTCTCTCATCAGAGTGGTAGAAAACAACTCCACATTGGGTGTTAATCTGGAGGTTGAGCGTGGGATTGAGGGGTACTCACGGGGGGCTCTTCGGGCGGCAGGGGGGGCCAGGGGGCCAGGTCCCGGCAGGGGGGGGAGTGGGGCAGGGCGCAGCCCCCGTCCCCGCCGTCCCTCCGCACAGGGGCCACCAGGGTCGGCTCCGCGCCGGCTCGCCACCGGCCCAGCAGCAGCTGCCCCGGCACCCCTGCGTCCACACGGTTGCTAAACACGCTATGCCTACGACCCTTGCCATCTCTTACCAAGCCATAGATACGAGAAGAGATTGGACATCTATTGTCATCAATGACCTTGCACCACATTTTACTTTAGCTCCTCCCGGGCTTCTCCCATAGAAATGACGTTGGGCCTAGCAACGAAAAACGCCGTGCGAACGACGTGGGCCACCATTACCGATCCAAGGCCAGCGTGCACACATGCAGGGCTGCATGGTATTCAACGTACAGACTTTCAGTGCTTAGGTGTTTTGCTGAGAAAATGGTCGGTTGCTTTGCTGTTGGATGTTCCAATCACAGTCGTCACAGTTTCCGTTTCTTTATGATTCCAAAAGAAAAAAAAAAACAAAGCAAAATATGGCTGTATAAAATCAAGCGCGACAAAAGGACGCCCATGGAAGGCTTCGTAAGATAAGAATGCTTGTTTTATCTTGAAACTTTTTATAAAATGGACTTTTCGTCGCAGTAGCGATCACATGCGTGCTAAATATAAGTCCAAAAAAGCTTCCATCTTGTGACGCATATTCTTGAACCTTATTTAAGGCTCTAGACTCAGTGAAGTTATGCGCGTTTTGAACATAGTTTTAATGTTAATAAGCGATTGGAACAAGCAGCAAGAATCAAGAAAACGAGATATGGCATTTTCTATGCTCACTTATCGCTACGGAAAGCCCCTCAGCTGCGAATGCCAAATTGTTATCGTTCCACACTGCTAAAACAACAAAAGGCGTCAACTAGAACTGAAAATTGCAAAATTTACGCAAGCATAATTTGCGTGACGCACGGAACATGTAAAGCGTATGAATGGGCTGGTGTCGCGGCATGTATCGAGGGAGGATAGACAGGAGGCAATAACTTCATATGGGTCCTGAATAAACACGACACAGCCCCGCTAGCGGACGACTTAGAACAAAATAAAGGAGCCATGGGTCAGAGGAAACCGAGCATACGGGCATAGGTCCCAGGCGTCACTTGGGCTCGAAGATGGAGAACTGGCTGTGTCGGTGACGTAATTGATGAGCTGTCAACGAAGCCACGTCAGCTGGCCAAACCCTCCCCTATATATGGCTCCGTCCTTTACGACGCGCCGTCTATTGGCTGGAACTGAATTTCACTAGTCAAGGTTTTGCGGCATTTGCGAGATACCATCTATGCTACATCAAATGGATGAATTTTGGAGCCATTAGTGAAGGAAAAAAAGATAAAAACATATTTGCGAATGTTTCACCCGATGGGCACGCTCTCCGAGACACTCCGTCGTAAACAAGTGTGTCGACAAGCTCGCGCGTGCATCGCCCAGATAACGCGCAGTTGGTGCTACGGTGCATGCAAGCAGGAAAAGGCAGACGCGCAGAAGAGCGTCCGTACCGCGTTCGTACAGTGCCCGGCGGGCACTGCATCTAGGGCATTGAGTTTGGCACCGTGCCGTATCTGCCGACGGGCCTTTAGACGCTCCGTTCACCCACCGTCTCGTAGATGGAGCAAGTGCAATTGTCAACGGCTACAACAAGCTTTCGGCACGGCGTCGGAAAGATCAGGAGACGTGCTGCCGAGCCGTTGCGGACCGTTTCAATGTTCCAAACGGCGGCGTTTCCCGCAGTTTCGGGAAACGCGGGAAGATGCAGTTGTTTGCGAACAGCGAGATTTGTTTGGGCAATGTCAACGACTTGTGTTGGCAACGTAGCAGTGATGACGACGGGAACAGCAACACTCGTATGGACAAAAGACACAGTGAGAAGGAGCAGTTCGCAAGCTTCTTAAAAGACACATGCAAAGTAAAAAAACATTTTTTTAAACAGCTTAGATGGAAAAAGGACGTCATAAAACAATTTTACAACAAAGAAAAAAAATTTTTAGAGCTATATTTACGGCATGAGATGACTTTTTGTCAAGCGAGGTGTAACGCTCCTCCTTTCCACTTTTCGCTCTCGCGCCTGAGTGCTCCGCGGGGAGGACAGGTAAGCCGCATGGATTGGCTTGGCTGCTCAGATAAAAGACGTACGCAAGCCTCGTGCAACTTCCGCTCAACTTTGGAGTGTGCTGTGTTGTGGCTTTAAAATCACGCGTTCCGTTCGCTCCCTGCACGGCTCGAAGGCCTCCGGGGCAAAGTGATGAGAGCACACCCGGGCATGTTTCTCGCCAGGCGTACGCCCGATCACCTCTAGCCAGATCGCTCTCAAATGCTTGTCCGCCGGTACCATGTGTACTGAAACCCTCCTGGTCACAATCACGAGAACTGCAGCCTTTTGTCGAGCAGCGGCGTTGCTTTGGTTGAACCGACATGTCAAAAACAACACTGCGCTGACCGCGCTCCGCGCCCCTTCGCAGAGAAAATGGCAAAGTCTTTGTTTGCATTCGTATGCGTCAAAACAGAAGTGACGATTTTGTTATACTTGATGTTTCTCAAAAGTCAAAATATTTTGTTAAAAAATAAGTGCAACAGAAAAAAATAAAGAAAATAAGTTAACCTTTAAAGACCATAGAAAGCTTTCGAAAGAGCGCAAGCACCACATGGTAAATAGCGACCAGTCATGTGATAAACAAGGGCCACTTTTCCGCGGCACCTGCTACAAATTCGTATAGCGCCGTAAATATACCTCTAAATTTTTTTTTTCTTTGTAGTAAAATTGTTTTACGACTTCCTTTTTTCATCTAAGCTGTTTAAAAGTATGTTTTTTTCCTTTGCATGTGTTCTTTAACTTGGATGACGCTTGGGCATCTGATGCGCGCGTGCCTGTGCAGGTAAAGCTGGAGGCCAGGCATTCAGAAGAGGTGCCGTTCTCCCGCACTCCTTGTACAACATGCCCCTCAAGTAGAATTTTTTTCGTTTTGTCGACAAGCAATTTGGGGGGGGGGGGGGGGGGGGAGTCGATTCGACTTACAATCGACGGTCAATAGCATCAGCGACGCCGGCAGCGTGTCTCGATGCATCTCGCAATGAGCTATTGAGCTTGGGCGCGTTTGCTGCTGGGGACCCACTAACGACGCCCAACCGCTCGTCGTGTCACAGCCATTACATTCAACTTCTACAACCAACCATTGTGCCATTCAACAGCACGCATTCGAGGCAGACGAGGACTCCACGTACCTCCATCGACGCTGTCGCCGGTGCCGTTGCGCTTGCGTCGGGGGGGCTCCGCGAGCAGCAAGTACACAGGGTTGTGCAGGAAAGGCGAGGGGGGCGGGCTCGAAGCCCTCCCGCTGCCCGAGGCGTTCTCTCCCGCCCACTCATGGGGCAGGAGGTCGGCCGCACGGGGGACCATCTTGGCCACCCCGTCCGACCGGCTGCGCTGGCTCTTCAGGCCGCGGCTCTCTCGCTTCAGGTAGCGTCGGCTGCGCCCTTTCGAACCGCTTTCCGTGTCGCTGCACGAGAGGTTAGTCCGACAATGGGCTTCTATCATTTTTTGTTCATCCTTGGGTACCGCGCTAAAACCCACCCTATTTTGCTTTTTCCCGTCTTTTTGACTGCAGTAAGATTTCCTTAGGAGCCCGATAGCATTTCATATTCGATTCGGTACTAGCAGTGTGTCGAACCGAAAAAAAATACGGGTTCGGTTACGGTTCAGGTTCAGGTAAATTTATTTTGTTCCGGTTCAGTTCCGGTTCGATTAATTCGATCCGCGAACCGGTTCGCGAACCGGTCCGGGGCGCTGAACCGGTTTGCGAACCGGTTCGGAAATTATAAATGACAAATTGCAACATCAAAATAAATTACAAATAAAACATCTGAAATCAGCACATACGAAACGGGATACATCGTAGTGTAAGGCTCAGGGATTTCTACCAGGAATGGTTTCTTTATGTGCGCTCAAAGGTTACCTCACTGACGTTTACGCATTCGGACTTCATCTAATTGGGTCCGACACAGTAGCTGTAAAATCTGCGACCTCCTTACAAACCCACTTACTAGTAGAACTCGCTAACTATCCCGCCACCTCGGCGTGTAAGCAATTGAAGGAACAGTCGGGAGAAAATACAGCTTTCTTTATTTGAACTAGCCTTCGGTAACTCAAATTAGACCCTTAAAGAAGTTTTCATTAAACAAGATACGGAATATGAAAAACACTTCACCGAACGCAACGCCAGAAGGACATAATAGGATAAATATTAAAATAGAAGAGTTCGCTGTCTCACAAATATGTTAGCTTCTAAGTGCCTATACAAAACCGGATGCATTATTATCAAACTCCACAGCCTTTTCTTTTCTCATTCCGATGGAAGCAAGCTTCAAGAACTAGCGCGTTCTAGAAACGTGTTATGAAATGAGCACACAGCAGCATTTAGGATTTACGAGATTGTAGAAAAATAAAATCCCGTGACGCGATTTTTTTTTTTTTTTGCACAGTCTTTCAATTTTTTTTCTTCCGTGCAAGCCGCGACCAGCGCAATACTGGTTCCTATGTCAAGATTCATGGATGCAGCGTTTATATTCCTAAGACTGAGTGGAGAAGAAAAATATGTAAGCGAGGTGTGTGTCAGTTGACGGCACTTAAAAAACAAATGGCATTGATAGCACATTCATTGTCAACAGCGCGTGGCCGAACTGTTTTGACATGAGCCGATAACCGTTATTTTTTTTCCGGTTCAGTTCCGGTTCGGGTTCATCGCGATAACAATGTAACGGTTCGGGTTCGGGTTCAGTTCCGGAAAAAATACCGGTTCAGTTCCGGTTTTCGGTTCGGTTCCGGTTCGACACCCTGGGTACTAGGTTTATATTCAGTATTCAATTTGGTATTTTAAATTAGTGCAATATGAGATCTGTTATTCGATTTCTATTAGATTATTCAACATTCAATTTATATTCAATTAATTCAAGATTCAATTTGATAGTTGATTATTCAATATTTTATTTATGTTTGAGTAATTCAATAGGGTGTTCAATTTATATATAATCAAATGAATATTAAATTTCATATTTGATTTATAGTTAACATTTGATTGGGTATTTTATTTATATTCAATGATATTAATCGCGTTTAATTTTTCATACTAATTGTCTGAGAAAAAATTTGTTTGCATACCCTTCAAGATGACTTAAACCAATTACTTTTTGTAGTAACTCTCACACTTTGAGACTTAAGAGACAAACAGCTCAGAGAAGCATTCTTAAACTTTTTCAGGCAGTGATAACTAAGTTTTCTTAACCGCTGCTTTTAGCCCCTGTATATTTAAAGGCATTAAAAGGGAATCACTTCGAAGCAATAGCAATGAAATTTAAATTCAGGCAATAAAGAGCATTAATATTCTTAATAAAATTTTTTAGGGGTGCGTGAATACCGAATAGTAGTTATTGAATCGAATTAAGAAAAAAAGCCGAATATTGAATCCAGATATTGAATGGTAATTTTATTAGTAGGAATTTTTCAAAATGGGCTGCAAATGAGAATATCTTGATGCAGAATATGCATCTGATGTCGAACAAAAGCTCAAAATGTATAAAAGTTTAAACACACACACACAAAAAAAAAAAGCTGCTTTTGAGATCCACTTTTTATGGCACAAACACAAAATCCATCTACCGTCTGCCTCATAGAAAACCCAAAGTTACAGCCATGTGTGGCTTTTTCTCCTCGTTAAAAGCAAGACCTAACACCATGACACACCCTTTCTTCATGCAGGATGTGCGTGCCACTTTCGGCCGCAGTGACAGGGGAATAGAAACACCGATTCTCCTATGTTTACCTCGTGTTTGGGTGGGTGCATGACGAATCTTGGTTCACTGGTGACCAATTTCGTAGGAGCTACGCTCTAGAAATGTCCCAGTGCCGTGGTTTTAAGCTGCCGATGCGTAGCGGCACAAACAAAATGTTGAGAGTGAAGTTATTTCGATCATCTCGAGACGGGGGACGACCCCAACGCCGTCGAGCCTAGGCGATCGCAGAGACGATGGCATAGGCAGATTGTGCAAGCCTGCTTCGATGTGCTGCCAACACATGGCACAACACGACAAGATTGAACACGTCTCTGGCGCCTCGATCGACCCATCTTCGTACAACGATGGGCCATTACAACACAATATTGATGCATGGTCTGGGTAAGACACCTGGAATACCGAAGCAATCGAGTGAAAACACAGTGAAAAATATAGCCATCCGCCGAAAATATGAGCGTGTGATTATTTGATGATCTGGCGGGCCAGTTGGTTGTTTATCATGAGGATATACAGCGCAAAACAACAAGGAAGGATGAGGGAGCGCTCCTTCCGTCTCCTTCGTCCTTCCTCCCTCGTTGTTTTGCGCTCTATATCCTCATGATCTGGTTATCATTTACAGATATCACAGATCGTATTTGACCCCTTTGGAGGCTTTCCGGGGATAGTATTTAAAGTCTCGATTCTGTACCCCTTTATCGAAGCGCAATAAAAACTTTGGGAAGACTCCGCTAAAACCAACACCAAGCTGGGCGACCCCTGTGGGAAGCTCAAGGTGCATCTTGGGCGACCGGGGAGGTTGGTGCCCACCGCCGATGCCTCACTGTTCACAAAGTAGTTGAACACATTCAGGGATTTGTAGCTTTTAAAGGGACAATGAAGGCAATTTCGGGGATCTTTTTGGCGATTGAACTGGGTTCCAGGCACATCTCAGGCCACGTTGCACAAATTTAAGCCGATACCGGTGCTTGTGTGCCGTGCAAATCAACTAAACAGTCGCGGTAATAATCGTACCGGGATCGACTGGGGCGACGCCCCGAGAGTTGCGGGAGAAACCAGGAGAAGCGGAGCTCACGTGACCGATGCGGGACAAGAAACGCGACGTCACAAGAGACGTCGCGTTTCTTGTGACGTGAAACGTGAAACCGGCAACGAGCAACTATGGGCAAACAAAATAAAAGTAAAACAGAACACGGTACTCGAAGGATTCTGCAAAATGGTAGCTGTAGATGGCTGTTCTAACGGTCGACTGAAAACCAGTATTCGTTCGGGCGACGCTAGTTTTCACGTGTGGGTTGCTGTTCGTAATCTTTGACGACAAAAAGAGGACGTCCGCAAAGGAACCGGATCCCGGAGCAGCGAGATCGCTGCCGCTTTCCCCTCGGCATCTCCCCCGCGTCCGTCCTTCGGCATGCGGGCCACTGGTTGCCGGCTGGGGGGTCTTCGTCGGGTGATGGCAGAGGCCGCCACACACATACTCCTGTTCTGTTGGCGTTCGGTCACTGACTGGAAGCTCAAACTCACTCGCGAGAGCGCCATTGCCGTCCATGTTGACAGATTCGGCGAAACGACCACGCCACCGCACTGCTATAACCCACTGCGGTAGCCAGAGTCTCGAGCTCCTAAATACTACCGATATCGACTATTCACACTTGACGTCCCTCCCTACGTCACCTCCGTTTTCGGAGGCCCAGAAACGAGAATGGAGATTGTTCAGTTTCGGTTTCTTTACTTCTTTCGTAGGCACAAAAATATGCGTCACAAATGTCTACAAAAAATTGGGCAGCATGCTATGTTCCCAGAAGCATTAGAACACCATTTAAAAAAATTAAATAAAATCATCTTCATTGTCTCTTTAAGTCATTCTCAAGTATATGTACCAGGCTAGTCGAATAGGTAGTCCTTCCGCAAATTTGTCATTTCTTTAAAAGGCCCATGAAACGATTTTTGGGTTGGGATAGATCATTTTAGATTGGGATTTTACTAATAGAACATCGTTCAGTGGGTCAAAAGAAAAAAGGTAGAAAGTCAAAAGCCTGACATTCAGTGCGAAAATTTGAAAACACAGCGGACTATTTCGTTCCTCCTCCCCTTCGTAACCGCTCTGCCTTTTCACTGTGATACATCCGCGGTCCAAAAAGCGCGTCATCGGGTCCAAACTGACGTCACACAAAACCGGACCTCATTTAGACCCTTTTCCCCTAAGCTGACATTGTGGTGAAAGCTACGCGCTTGCCGGACCAATCAGCCACCTCCGTTTCATCACCTGACTTCATTCTCCGCAGCCACATTTGCCACGCTTACGTGGCAAAAGTGTGGCTAGCCCAAGGAGCACGTAGATTCCACAGCACGTTCAGCTTAGGGGTGAACGGGCTGGGGAAAGAAACTTTTGTCTGAGTTTTGAGCGACGGGCTAATCTTCTAGGGGGACAATGGCTCTCTCCGGGTACACAAACCAAGTTCCGAGCGAGAGGGGCCTCCCTTCTTTTCATCTTCTTGAACTGTTGGGTGGAATGCGCGATTTATGGGTTGAGGAGGAAAGCGAAACAGGAAAAAGTTGGAAAAGCATTTCATGACCCCTTTAAGGAACAAGTGCTCTTTCTTTTCCCCCAAGGGAGCAGGAAGGCATTCGATCTTGTATAAGTAAGTTTTACGAGGTACTGCAGTCAGCACTCCACGGTGAGACCTTTAAAGAACTCGCTACTAACTCACTGCAGGTCCTCAAAACCCAAAGAATTATCATATTATACACTAAAGGTTCGTCATCGTCTGTGTCATCTGCTTGAAAGACTTGTTTTCCAACATTACTCCCATCATGCGAAATCCCACTTTGGCAGCATCCAGTTGCTACGTGTAATGTTGGGTGGTTTTAGAAACTTCCACCGCGCTTACCCACTTGCTTCACAGATCACTCGTGGCAGTCGTCAGTGCCATCCACGACACCAACCATGTGACGGCCATGACACTTAACCACGTCGCACTTCCGTCCTCGAGTGTGTGAGAGCACCATTCCACTCGCATTGCGCGACCGTGTTACAACTACCGCTTTCGATTTTTTGCACATTGTGGGCGAAAAATAGGACTTTTTTTTTTGTGATCTTGCAGTCGTCGATTTCTGCGAGTGTGCCCAGTGTGTTCTACATCGATGCCTCAATTTGAAACGAGGGGCAAAATTAGGCGTGACAAGGAATTCCCGCCTCCCAAGAATTTGTATCTGCAAGTGGAGCAAATGGGATGTTTTGGTTGCGATTCAAGATTAGATTGTGTCACGATCGTGATTCAATCTGCGTGCATAAGGTTTGTGGCGTTCATTACTTTTTTTTTCCTAGCCTGCGGAAGACCAAGAGGCGTTTCTCGCATGGTCTGTCCAACAGCACAGCGCCAGAGCCACTGAATGAGCTCTGCTTAGAGTATCAGCACTCCGTTCCCCGACATTGTTGTGGGCGCCGCCATTTTGGCTCGTATGCAGAGCAGACGCAACTGCCAATCGGCATGATTCAAAAGTGTGACTTCCTCAGCAATAGATTTGGTGTTAGGAAGCTCATGTAAGATTGCTTTGCTCTGTCGCGAAATGTTTAAACATTTCTGAAGGGCGGAAAAGCGTTTCCTGTGACTTCAGATAAAGCTTCAGATAGCTGGCAACCATGATTTTAAGACACAATATGGCCAAATATCGTTACTCTGAAGTGTAGCTTATTTAGTGGCACTACACTGCGCTAACATCGGGAGAAAAAACAGTCCTATTATCAGCTCCGTGCCAACCGTGCGTGTTTTGCTGAATAATACTGAATATTCGAGTGACCCAATTATAGGAATTCGATTTGCGAATCGAATTATTAGGGGAACTTATTATTCGATTAGTATATTCGAGTATTCGCTCACCCCTGATAATTTTATATGTTGCAGCGTATACCACACAAAAGACAATGCGTCTTATTTGCAAGTTCACACATGTTTACTAGTTTTAAAGAATGCTAAAAGGGATGGGGTTCTGGCAACTGTCGTCTGCCACGTCTTTGAATTGCGTTCAATCCCTAACTATTAGAAACAGAATATGTTTCTAGTGTAATGTAGCCTTGTAAAGACAATAAATAGTTTCAAGCTTTGTACAAACATGCCTCTGCAGAAACCTACACCTTCCAATTTGTTTCAGAGTAGAGTTTTTAGAGTATCACAATCAAACTGATGCCACATAAAACATGTGTCATTGCCTTCCAAACAATCTGATTCTTGCTTTTATTAATTGTTTATACCGATAAAGTGTGAAAAACAATGAGTTCTCAAATTTTGTAGTTTAGCATGCTATTAAAAAAAATAGAAGACATTTTGTCACTTTTTTTACAGCGGAGCTGTTAACGGCTAGGTTCCCCAGGATCGTGTCCGTGTATGTCGACACAAACCTACCTGGACAGCTACCGCCATCTATAAGCGACGGCGGCAAGCACACAACCAGTATGGTTTCCGCCGTCGCTCGTAGATGGTGGCAACCTTTCCAGCTATAATAGAAGAATGGATAGTTGGGCCCGTTGGTGGGAATTCATCGTAGGAAACAGCGCGAAAAACAGACGACGACGAAGAAGAAGCACACAGTGTATCGAGTACAGCTCCACTGGTCTTCCTTCTTCACGAGTGGAGAGGCTGACAGATTTTATTGCTTCGCCTTACATTCTTTAGATGCCCTTCTTTTAGCCTGCACATATTTCGTGACAACTAAAGTAGCAGTTTCCAAGTGCCAAGACTCTATATAAACTACATAACCGGAACTAGCGACAACGGGTTTTCGACACTCGCCATCCGTGCCAAATTTTACTGCAAATATGGAGTAAAAGTGAATCAGGATGGTGCTTACCTGTCCAGCCGGCACAAGGCGATCCCATTCTGTGGAGGGTGAACTGCGAGAGAAGACAGCAGAGATAAACTTGAGCCCAGCAGGCCACGCGTGGGGGAACAATCCTTCATGCATTTTTTGAGAATGTGCGAGACATTTTCTCGAAAAGACCACAACCCCCTTTGAAATGAAGATCAACGACGAATTCCTCATTTCCCGTCGTAATCGCGATTTCATCGGGCCTATTGATTGTTTTTATTACGGTGAAATATCGCTCAAACAAACTATGGCAGTCCCTCATTATAACGAAATCCGTCTTTTCATATTATCGCATCATTCAAAGTTGAACGCAGTCCCGACCGAAATGCACGTATTTTCAACCGGATTATGACCGCCTACCTGTGCGCTGGTACGTGGATTACTGAAAGCAGATCGGCAACCGACCACTCTTACAACGAAGGCCGAGGAGTAGCTGCCGAAAGCAGGCAAGTCTACTTGAAGGTGTTTATTCAAAGTCTCTTTGATCTGTGACAAAAACAGGTGGCCGGCCCAAGTACCCAATCTCGAGGAACTCAATATCTCGGCAGTCCCAGCATCGCTTTAATCTTGCAGAACGAGTCAGATGTACTGGATGGGTTCGAGAAGAATTTCTCGAGCGAGGAAAAGTGTGATTTGAAGCTCAAAGAGTGTCCTTTGGGTGGGATTCCTCGGGCTTACCAATACGATAGTGTGCAGAAAATAAGTTAGATCGGACATTGTTGCTCCTGCTGCGAATTTTGAGATTGTAGACCTTGTGTGCTGCCAAGGTGAGGACTAAGAAATCTCGGACGACGAACGTCGAGAAGTACCGACGACTGCGGAGACACAAAGCAAACTCCTTCGGAACAAAGGGGAAAGCAGCAACAGAGACAGTGATCTTGCGACGCCTTAAGTAACTCATGGTCACAATACCAATTGCCCAAGAAAATTTCTTGGATAAAGCGATCTGCTTTTCTTTTCACTCTTCGATAAAAATGCTGCAAGTTTTTTTATCTCCGAGGTTTGTTCCCTTTCCCTTTCGAGGCTGCTGCCGCCAATATTTGGCTTCCCACTTTTAACAAATTACCACCTTATATTGAGACGGCAAAATATTTTGCCGTCCCAAACGTCGGCTCGCAGCAACTAATACCGGCCGTGCCAGAAGCATGCTCGGGTCGTGTTGTGCAAAGAGCTGCAACGAGAACGAGCTCACTGTGGCCAACTACGCTTTGGCTTTCTCCGCTAAGGCTTTGCAAACGCGTTCAGGCCTAGGCGAATTCTGCCGGCACGCCGTATTGCCGCAGAACGGCGCTGCTCCTATGCCACAAATGATGTCACGAGAAATTTCCCACCATCCACCAGATGTGAATTTGAAATCGTTTAATTAGGTTTAAAATTAGCCCTCCTATGTTTTACAGCGCGATATTGATATTTCCGAGGTGGTGCCTTTCTCTAGCTCATATTTATGCAGAAAGATTGGCGCTAAAATTTCATTTCCGCACCCCTTTAAGCAAACTTTTACTTTTCAAAGTTTGTTCAAGTGGTATTTCACTGTAGTACAGAGCATGCCATTTTTTGTTTTCTGGATAAGCGCACACACTGAATGGTGTTACTCGGATGAATCCTGCACGAGGAAATAACGTCAACATATTTTTCAGACTAAGGCAGGTTCATGCATTCGGTTGCAACCGGGCGTGCAATTTTGCCATCTCTTACGACAAGAGAACACGCTGGCGCCATCTGAAGGGTGAATTTCCATCTAGTATATCATCCTTCACCGTGGGTTTGAAAGAACTTGATGCTATAAACAAGCATGTTAAATAGGGATCGCCGATAGTGCAAGACCCTCAATCTAACAATACGCCATCTTATAGATGGTGCCAGTGTTTCGTAAGAGAGAGTCTCTATTGCAGAGAGTCTATGGTTTATGAGCCACGTTTGCAATACGAGGTCCGAGGATGTGACCAATGCATTCATCGTCTGCTATTGTCCTCGCGACAATGCTACGCACGTGCTCTCGCAATAATCTCCGTGGGAGGCGTCTACCATTAAACTGGCTCTCCATGGTTTTTAATCTCTCTAAAGAGAGTCTAGAAAGAGAGGGTCCAACAGAAACCATAGGGAAATGGCGGACGCAAGTGGGCACGCATCGCATTGTCGAGTGGCGAGAAGCGGCGAGCGTTTGCAGACATGCTTTTGTCCTCTCCTCGCAGCTCATATAGCAAATATGGCCACCCCGTGACCGAGCAGTTGCAAAGTCTCTCTAAAGAGAGGGCACAAGACTCGCAACCAATTTGCAACCAGGCGCAAGCGCACTAAGCAGACTTTACGTGCTGCCAGACTCCCGAGGGACACAACTGAACGGCGATCGTACCTTCCTCGCACAGGCCACTGTCTTCCCCGACGTCCTTGTTGTTGTTGCTCCCACCAATGTTGAGGACGTTGTTGATGTTGTTTGTACCGTTGCTGTTCAGGTGGCGGTGCTCCGCCGGGTTCTGCGCCGTGTCCACGCTTCCGTTGCGGTACGCCGGAACCCCGTTTCCGCCGTCGCCATACTGCGTCTGCCAACGAGAGCGAGGGCATGTTTCGGGGTAGCTCTGGGTTGCGAGGCACGACGCCGTCCCCACCGGGCAAGAAAAAACAATGAATGCCCGGACACATCTTCACACCCCTTCGCCTTACTGATGCTTAGGGCAAGACTTCAGTCTCGAAAATTGGCAGTGACCTTCACCTTCGAAGTCTTCTGATGCATAAAATGCATTAGAAAATAATCCTTTTAGCACTCCCCTCTCCTAACCTGCGAGGGAAGCCAAGTTGGGGCAAGGTAAAAAGTGGAGACGATATAGGAAAGGAGGAGTCGGGCAAAAGTGGAAAGCACGAAGTATGTGTCAGCCTTTAATAAAAGGCCAACACATACTAGAGAGGAGGTCGCCTCCTTTCCAGCATTCGCTCTGCCGAAGTGGAGAGAGGTCGGAGGAGCACTCTTAGCCTGTCACCAACTTATTCAAATCCTTTATTTCTTCCTCTCCGTTCAAAGGGAGAAAGAGAAAAAGCAACTCCGTTGTTACTAAACGAGCCTCTGCCTCCCCGCAGCGGCAGAGAGGACAGCGTGTACATCCATGCCATATTTTAGCAATAATACTTACGACACAAAAAATAAACAACAGGTGGGGAGGAGAACAGTAATCGATTGACCCAGATTTTCAAGAATCACAAATTCCGCAGACACTGCCTCAAAAACATTGAGTAAACACTTTGCCGGGATTCATACCACGCGCCTATATTCAGTTCAGTCAAACGACTTAAAAAACGTGCCACTGTGCCTTTCGACATCTGATTAGCATAGTCTGTTCCAGAGTGTGGCATTATCCACGTGTCTACACAGCGAGTCTCAAAGGCAACCTCCCTCAGCCTAAGGTTGGAAATTGACATAGATACACTTTGGTTTTGCCCGGGAGACCTTTTTATTTTCCCGGGGAACATTCACTTTGCGATATACGGTGCAACCCACTTATAACGATACCACATATAATGATGTACCGCTCATAACAATCAGTTCCTAGAGTTTCTAGACTAAAAATGCTCAGTTTCCAGACCAGATACAATGACAATCGGTTATAACGATTACATTTTCGGATTTTCTCATTACTGTTACAAGTGGATTGCACTGTATAAGTTCTACCCAGGCATGAAGTTTTTTGGGAGTCGAGCATTCCTCAAAAGGTCTGCCTGTCAACGGGTTTAGCGTTGACCTCAAAGCAGACGACGCAGCCGCAAAGAGCTCGGAGGGCTGTTCCCGCCCGAGTCCCGCCGATTGGAGAAGAGCGTTTTCAACGTCGTTTCTTCTTTCCGCACTCATAAACAGACCACAGTCTGCGATGCGGCACAGCGCGTACGGGAAACGTGCTCGGCCAGACTAGGGTGCCTGCATCTCTGACCCTACCTGTGCATCCAAAGTTGTCCTAAAGTACAGTATAGACCACTTACAACGTAACCGCTTATAGTGCAGGACCGGGTATAACGCGTTTTTTTTAAACCACCGGTTCGTCTCCCATAAAACTTTATGTAATTACATACCGCTTAAAATGCAGGCGCGTGAAGGGAAATACCAGTTATAGTGCGGTTTCTGGCACAGCCCTCCGGCCGCGCCGACGACCGGAGCAGCGAGCGCGCTTCCCTGTGCGACACTAGATAAAGGCGCTGACGGCGCGAGCAGCAAGCGGCACTCGCGTGGCAGTTGCTCCTGAGCAGAGTTGCTCGAAGAAGCGGGAAGAAGCGAAAGGCTTCAGTTGCCATAGCGACGAAGGGACGCACGCACGTGTCGTTCACGTGCGTGCGTCCCTCCGCTGCGTTGGAAACAAACAACCGCAGCGACGGACCAATCGCAGGTCGAGGAGAACTGTTCGCGCGCGTTGCATGCCGGTCGCGGGCCGGCTGCTTCTATCCGCAAACACGGCGTCGGTTGTGATCGTCGTCGTAGACGGCGTTCATCTCATCGTTCCGCGTAAAAGCGCTATCCTTGACTGTGAATTTTCGTTGTGTGTCGCTATGATAACCCAGCACGTATTAGAAGGGAAGATCCACCTACTTGTGCGGCGATGTCGTGGCGGCGCTCTCAAGACGGCAGAAACGCCCGTGTCGTCGTGTTTGCTTAATTCGACTACAGTGGTGACTTCTAAGCATTTGTGTCCTCGAACATTGCCCGGACTTCCATTTGGCACATTTCATCCGTGTGCTCAAGTTCAAGGTATTACTGGCGCGTACCGTATGAAGGATGCGAATTTTCAAGCGTTTTCATCTCCGGAAAAAAGGGATTAGGGTTAGCAATCCTGAATGCTCGCAACGTCCGTCCGCAACCCGCGACGCCGTTAAAAGGCAGCGCCAGGCAAAAGCCGCTCATTTCTTCCAAAATGTGTAACACACTTCAGACAGAACTGTACTAGTCTGGTGAAATAAAGACTTTCCTCAAACTAAGCTTTATTTTTCATCTAACATAAAATAAATTCTTTTACAAGTGTAAGTTGTCTCATATGGCATGTATTTTGGCCTGAAAAATTGATGTTTTAGTTATAGCGCGGTACCGCTTATAGTGCGGATTTTCGCGACTCCCGCGACATACGTTATATGCGGTCTACACTGTAATGACATTGCAAAACCCAGACTGCCACGCTGCCGAATGTCCCGGCAGTTGGGCGTTGTGGAAGAAAACCACGAGGGCATGCTTCCCTGGACCTGCAGCGGACATCTGCCACGTCTAACGCCGCTGGCATGACAGGATTGTGGCCGCCGACAGCGTGACACTTGGGGCGGAACAATTTTGGACGTACGCCGTCCCCGACACTGTAAACAACATTACCTGGCAGGACAGAATGGCAACGGCGGGTGGCGCCTTCGTGACCGGCAGGCTGCACACATTGCGCTTGTTCTTGCTGCGCACCATGTTGCCGGGAAACTGGGACAGCACGTCAAACCACCTGCGCACAGTGTCAATTGTCCCACCACTTCCAAAAACTTCTTTCCATTCACTAAAGAATTCACTTTTTCGTCCCAAAGCCAAAGCCCACCATAAAGGCCAGCTGAACCTAACCCAATTTCGTGACTCTGTAAATATAGCAAAAAATTGATCTCGCAAAACGCTCCATGGTAACGAATATACTTGCAACTCCAGCCCGCTGCTCGCCCTCTCGTGCATGAACCGGGAACCAGAGGAGCGGGGACAGCAGCGGCGGTGCGGAAACGGTGGCAGGGGCTGTCGACCTTGATGCGTGAAGCCGTTTTAAGGAAAATAGTTAGCACGTTGAAATAGGAATTTTTGTGCTCCACCTTGCAACAGCGTTGCACGAAAGACTGGGATGTCTAATTTCATTAGGGACTTTTCGTATATCGCATATGCTCCAGTTTTCTGGTCTTGTGCATGGTCGCCAACTCAATCTGTGCTCATTGTGATGGCAAATGCTCCCGCTAATAATGCATATATGCTCTGCTCTGCTCTAGCACACGGTCTACGAAAAGTCCATTCTTTGCCCTAAGTAGGAGAAAACTCGTCGCGCAACGCTATGTCGAGCAATACACATCGGAAATGGGTTCACATTCTAAGGCCGTTACACGGAGCATGACCATTTATTCCAAGCAATTTCGAAAGACAGAATATGCATACTTATTTTCAGGTAATTACAAAGCAAATAAAGAAATGCTCCAAGTATTTTAAGTGCGTCTGTGTTAGCCAGCCGTTCGTGGCGAGAGCTTAGAATGGGCAGTTTTGGCAAGAGGGGCTGCAACGTTGCAAAGAAAACGGTACAAACCATGTACGGTGTATTAAAATATCTATCTTTGGAAGAGCAATAAATAAAACCCCTAAATGATAATGGTAATAGGCAGTTTTAGCATAGCATTACCGCAGGCTACCATGAGCATGGCAACGCTCCTGGCACGCGCTGAAAATTGTGCTTCAAAGGCGCAGCGTGAGCTCCCGGTTGCAATACTACACCGCACGGTAGCCTGCGGTAACGAACTTGATATCAATGACCAAAGAACAGTTTGATCATGTGTTGCAATACACTAAAACCAAGACGGTGAGCAGCGAGTGGAGAACCAGTGACACGAAGACATCAATACTGCAATGCTGCTCTTCTGAAGTTTGACGGTCCCAGTGCGCGGCTCACTTTTTAGAGCACTAATAGCCAGGCAAAGTGCAAATACGATATCCTCATCACCCCCAAAAATATTCTGCCACAAACAGTGACGTGGCCTGTGCCTAAAACGAGCTCGCCCACCACAAAGCTTCGCAAGTTTTAAATATCGATATGCTCGTTTTCCTAACGTGCATCAACATCTCTGTCACCTGTAATATTATCCTGCCCTAAGTGCTTCACATTTTTAGACAAATAAATCATTTCTAGCGCGCTGACCAGCATCAGCGAGCAGGTGCACTGAAGATCGTGGAGAATCTATCCCCATCTCTTCTGCCATCTTGGAACTACCGCCCCGCCACCCATAGGGCGTTGGAGCTGCAAATAGCGTATTGTCCAAGTCACAAAATATTTTTAAAACCTACTTCCCCCAAAATTCGTGCAACATTGAACTTGCAAAAATAAAGTGGTTTCCACTAAGCTGCACAAATCAGCTTTTCATGCTACAATATTATTTCACCTCGAAAGTAATGCGGTCTGTCTCGCGAAAATATAAAAGAAAAAACAAATATTGTTTTAAAGGATCGACACGTTAATTGGGTAACGAAAATCAGCATTTGACTAACCGTTTTATATTCAATCCTGTCTTATTTCTGACATCTTATATAGGAGTATGACCACAACCAGTTGACAGAAATTTGAATGTTCGGCCTTCCCCGTTTTTCAGTGCATTCAGTCAGAAAGGCTCGTGCGAGCAAACAAAGGAGAACATTCCTTACATTCTATGTAGCACCATTTTGTCGCCTCCTGCACACTGCCATTAGTTTTGTCGGCCAACATTTTTCTGTCAATCTTACGCACGAGAGTCCACACAAGATACACACATATGCCGTACAGACAGCTAGATTACACCCTGCATACACATACAATCCATATATGGACGCTTGCTGGATATGTACACTAGAGCACTGCACGGGCCGGAATTTCTAGGCCCGGCCCGGTAGAGGCACGGCCCGGGCCCGGCCCGAGCCCGACAGAATTTTTTATTTCTAGGCCCGGCCCAACCCGGCCCGGAAGAGACACCACCCGGGCCCGGCCCGAGCCCGCCAGAATTTTTTATTTCTAGGCCTGGCCCGACCCGGCTCGGTAGAGACACGGCCCGGGCCCGGCCCGAGCCCGACAGAATTTCAATTTCTAGGCCCCACCCGGCCCGATGGCTGTAGCCCGAAACAACCCATTCCCGTTTGAACTCGTCCCGTTTCCACCCGTTCCCGAAACGAGCTCCCCATTTGAACCTCGTCCTGTTTCGACCCATTCTTTAAACGCCCTTCCCATATGAACCCGTCCCGTTTCGACCAGTTCCCTAAACGCCCTTCTCGTTTGAATTTGTCCTGTTTCGACCCATTCCCTAAACGCCCTTCTTATTTGAAGCAGTTTCCGAAACACCCTTTGCGTTTGAACGCGTCCCGTTTCAACCTACTTTTATAAGGCCCTGCACATCGCAACCTCTTCGCAAAAAGTCTCCATCGTTCTAAGCCTGGTCTGCGCACCTTTTCTGTTTAAGAATATGTTCTCAAGTAGCTTTACATGTCAACGCGTTCTTAAAATATACAACCCTTTCAGGCAAGATTAAGTTTAATATATTCCTACTTAACCCCTTAAAACGTTTTTTTCAAGATGGTTCCCAAAACGTGCAAACGCGGAACGGACTATGTACACTGCGCGACACTGATACCGCGAACACGACGTTGGCTCTTTTTTCGAATTTTACATCGAAATGGTATTAGTAGGCACCAAAGTATACCGCTTAAGTCTTTGGCCCAGATGAGCACTTCTAAAAACACTAATAGTTTTGAAAACAGCGTTTTGATGCTATGAGATAAACATAAAAACACGACGATCCCTTGTTCGCGCTAATATAGTGTCGCGCTCTGTGCAATAAGGGAGTCTTAGAATAACGTACTCAAGCACTTTGGGCAAGCTAAAATTAGCATCGCCATAGGTTTTACATCGCAACGTTATTTTTATGGTACTCAAAGCGCTTGCCTACATTTTTCTAAATCTTCCTAATAGTGAACTAGATATTTTTGATAGCGATGAATCAGACAGGTTGACAAGCATATGACTGGGACTTTATTTTGTTTACAATTTATAACACTGAACCCTCGCTCACACGGAAAAAGCTTGAAGGCTTTCTAGCTTCAAGACGTCTTTTAGTTACTATTTTTAACAATGCTGTAGTGAATTTGCACTTCGCTTTTTTGTATTCAATGAACCTAAAAGATTAATGAGCAAACTTCTTGCTATCAGCAACAATTTATGATTTACGGCACAAGATTGCCCAGGCACGGCCCGGGCCGGCGCGGCCCGAGAACTTTTTTGTTCAAGCCCGAGCCTGGCCCGGGCCCGAAAAAATATGTGCTACCCGGCCCGAGCCCGGCCCGCGGGCCGGGTCGGGCTTTCGGGCTGGCCTGGGTCCGTGCAGTGCTTTAATGTACACAGCCAAGGATTAAGCCTCCATCGATCATGCCCCCTTAGAAAGCGTGAAAAAAAAAATTTGATGGTAGTCCCTAAAAAATAAAATAATTTACCTCATCACCACATCAAATACCCCTAGTAGCATTGCAATCTCGCATAGGGTTTACCTCGAGCTAAAATCTTTTTGCCACTCACGTGATACCGCTTGCACGATAGAGGATGAATTTTTGGGAAAGCAGCAAAGCGATGCAGGTAGTGCAGACGCACAATAAGAACGCTTTTCAAGTGTAAATCGACAAGTGAGCCAAAGGGAGGTGCCACGCAGAGTCCCTAAATAAGCTATGCTCCAGAGTCGCCACACTCGAGCCATCTCGTTGCGGGGCCGTGAAATGTTTTCTCCAAATTTTGAGCATGTCCTTTATTAACAACCCAGATTTATTCTTTTCATCTTTCGGGTTCACTTACTATCGCAAAAGAATGTAATCCCGGGAAGCGTCTCTCTTGGTTCTATAATTACTTCAGTGTAGGTAACCAATGAGAAATTTTTGTTGTCTGCTCGAGATGGCGACGTAGACCGGACTCTATGGGCCAAGTCGGAGCGTCAGATATCGCTTCAACGAGATAACCGATCTCATCGACCTCTAGCCGCTCTAACATCGCCTATTACACTGCGGTCGGCTTTAGGCTTCGAGCTGGACGCCGTACGTTGTTAGTGCTACCATACATCGAAGGCAAAGAGGAGAGTTTGCGAAAGAATTGTTTGCAACTTGGATCGATAAGGCCGCGTCCCAATACACCATCAAATGACGAGCAGCGGATACATTCTCGCTTTGACCAGAGAAGCACCGATCCGCTTGCCAAAAAGGCCCGACTCCTCCGGTGGCTGCTGGGTAACAGCTAACGGTAGAGCTTGTTGCTACATACTCGTAAAACGATAGGCTTCAACTATAAATGCAATGAAAGAAAGAACCTGTCGGCTGTCAAAGAAAGGACAGACGGGACGGCGGAGGAAGGGAGGGGGCTCACCATTTGCTGTCGTCCCGGCCAGTGCCCTTGACGAAGTGGACCTTGTCCGGAGTGGTGATGGCAAGGGAGAACTGGTTGCCCGTCAGTTCCTCCGCACTGGCCACCTCCACCGCCTTGGTCATGTCGATCACCGCCTGGGGGATCGTGTTGGGCTGCCCAAGGAAAGGAGAACAGCCTCAACGCAGGATCACGGGCGCCCTCGAAGGCATCGTTGCCCGTTAGCCCTAACCTCTTTCCACCATATTTCCCTTTTCGAAATTTCTGACCTTTCAAGGTCTTCTTCGAGTATTTCGATAAAATCCCCCAACCGTCGCAAAACAAGAAAATGCAGAGGATGGGGTTGCGACGGTTGTGGGATCTGTTCCCATTTAAGAGGGGACACTACCTAGAAAAAATAATTTCTGCAAAAAAAAGTTGCTTTTAAAAAACGTCATATTTACCCCCGCCAACATCTAAAGGGTATTCCCAGGAAGTTTCATTAGTTTACACTGCATAGTTAATTTCTTATAAATTATTTTCGGTCTACCGATGCTAAAGAAAAGGTAGAGGTTGGAGCACTTTGGACACATTTTCCTCCATTCCACTTTTGGGCAGAAATTTCACTCAAGAAAAATTATTGTTTTGTTATTACGTAACTTGGATTCATTTTCATGAGTTTTTCTGGGGTGAAATTTTAAGGGGAAGATAGCTATGAGATTGTATTTTTTATTTTTGTCATTTTTCATGCTCAAGAATGAAAATTTTGGAGAAAGGATAGAATTCTAGAAACCAGTATTTGTGTTTTTGTGGCTTTTTTGTCACGAAAGATGGTATAATATAGAAATATAGCTCCACAGCTATCTGCTCTAAACTGTCCTCAAGCAATTTAACACATGAAAACGACAGATTTATAAGTAATTTCAAAACAATAGTGTTCCTATGCACACACGCCCACTTTCATCTTTGGACATTTGCAATTTTATTGCACTTCAACCAGGTTAACAAACTTTGGCACAAAGGTTCTCAACATCAACACAAACAAGCCCTGTAAGTGCCATTTAAATCAGACACGTGGTTCAAACATTCACTTTTTTGGGTAGTTAACAAAAATAATTCACAGTACATGGAAATTGTTTTTTCCTCCAGTTTCGTGGACAATGTGTGGGGGCAATGAGTTCCAGTCGGCAATGGCAAGAGAAAGTGGAGAGTTTTGAAATCTGTTAGTTCTGGAAAACTTCGAAGGGATGGCTTGGAAATGTAAGATGAGTTCTAGCTCACACTGCCTACAATGCCTAGGGGCAACTGTAATGCAAAGAAAAAGGGCATCTACACAACCGCACGCCACACCCTTTTGCTTCATGGCGCGTCACTGCGCTGTCCACCATTGCATGTTTTCCCCAACTTAGCCAACTTTTTAATGATTTCCCCGAAAATTCCTCACCAATTTCAGGTTAACGTGTTCCCCAGACACGTATACGGTTCATTGCAAGTGAGGAATAGTGGGACAATTCCCTCGTACAAAACTGCCACTCTTTCCACTTGGACAGAGCCGGAAAAGGAAAGAGGCAAGGAGGGATAAAAAAAATGTCCCCAAGAAAGTGGAATGATAAATGCACACCTGTAATGTGAAAGTAGAATACGAAAGTGAAATATGCTAAATTTATCCTACTTATTGCTCATTAAATTTAGCTGGAAGCATTGGCCCGCTAAATTTCATAGGAAAATTTAACTTGTGTGTAATTATACACCAACTTAGGCTTTCCTGCTGTACATACTAAAGTTGAGGCTTGGGCGAGATGGCACATGCTCCAGAATTCAAAACAGCGTGAAAAAACGAGGACCAGATGAAGAAGCAACACGGACGCAGCGCTGCGTCCATGTTACTTCTTCGTCTGGCCCTCGTTTTTTCACGCTGTTTTGAATTCCAAAGTCTGTACATACTAGAATGGACAGTTGGGCTAGTTGGTATAAGTTCATAATCTCCAGTTATATTTAGGGGAGACACGCAATTTAGAGTAGAAATGCTTCCCACTAAAACCACTAAATTTAGTGGAATTCAGCGGACTCCCAAGCCCAAGAGAGCTCGTAAACATACACCCAGCAGAGCTTAAAACACGCTGCATATTCTGTGTTTTGCAACTTCATTGGCAGGATCAAGATACATTAAAATTGCTGTTCACACAGTACCCACATTGCCTAAGGGCTTTGTTATTGTTGTTTGTTTGTTGTTGTTGCTTTTTTTTTGGGGGGGGGGGGGGGGGGGGGGGGGGCTACGCAAGCAGGCAAAAAATTATAATATTTTGTCAATAATACAAACACCATATATAAGAGAACGGAAAAAAAAGATCAGCACCAGTGTTTGACGGCTAGAATGGTGAAATTACCTCGCGCGGCACTGCGCGTGGAGGGGTAGTCCGGCCAGTTGTGAGTTTGGAGCAATTTTTGGAGCAAAGAAAATCTCCTTTAGAAGCACTTTTGCATCAGAAAAATCATATTTTGGAGCAGCTCTGGAGCAACGTATGCATAAGTTTGGATCAATTCGGTGCAGTTCCCTATTAGAGATACTGGCATGCATTCATATAATCACTACTGCATGATGCCCATTAAAACCCAATGTTTGTGGTGATACTGTACTAGCCAAATTTCCCTTTGACGGCTGTGAAGCTGTGCCATACAGTTACCATAACTACCGCAGAAGAGCCCACTTCATTAAAGCGCCCACTATTAACATTTCCCAAACTTGTAAGTTTTGCAAATTATATGTTAAGCCCCCGATTTGATAGAACGAGCAGCCATGCCTAGGTTAAACCAGTTTTCAGTGAAAGTGAGGTGGTTGCTCCCCCGATATTTTACGGTAGTCAAATTTCCACTTTATTTTCATTGCTAGTGGAGAAAGGTAGGAGTGATGCAAGTGCATTAACTATCACCAGTGAGAAGTCGATGTAGAGTACCTATTTAACCTTCTGATAATAAAAAGCATTAAATCGACACAAAAACCCAATTTCTTTTTTCGTCAATAACAGGTAGGAACAACCACCAGCATGGTAAAACAAAGTCACATGCATGCCGTGGATAGTCTGCAACCCTTCCCAGCACACATCCCACCCTCAGGCAGCATTGAAATGTAGTTGCAAGACAACTTTGGGGGAGAACAGTGACGTCATTTAGGTTGCCTAGCTCCGGTGAAGGCTTTCTATGATGCCCTCGATCACGTGAGCTTCAAGTGTGCGCATGCGCAACCGAGGCATTACGAAAATGCTGCAGGCTTCTGCTGTTGGAGAAGCAGCTGAAAGCTCGCGCGTGACGTCCTTATCTAGTTGGTAATCCTGGTTCTTGAGAGACTTAAAAGAATAAGGAAGATTGTAATGATAAACTGATTGGCAAACTCACATGTTCGTCCACCGAGTATGTCAGCTCCCCGTCGTCGTAGAGCACAAACCAGCGCCGCTGCCATCGCTGAAGAAATGGAGAGAAGCACAAAACGGTGGAGCGTAAAGGAACGGTAAGCACAAATCACTCGCAGTACCGTTAGTCAGAACTGTGAAGCACCTACAATATGGGTAATTTCATCTCAAATCATGGAAGAAAAAACTATGAATCCTGAAAAAATTATGAATCCTGAATATATGTACGTTGGTGGCAAATCTGTGACTAGAGCAAAACTGCAAATTAGAATGGAGCGATACAACCGTTATTGAGGATGATAAACCTGACGATGAACATTCCATACTCTCGAGCTCCTCTCCTTCAGTGTGCACAGGTGGTCAAGCTCCTCCCCTCTGGTCACCGTTAACCAATCAGGGTCGAGCACCTCACTCCTCCTCTCCCACCCGATAACGATGATAAACAGTGTCGAGCCTCACAGCCACGCTTTTATCCAGGCTTCACTTTCGTCTGGGCTTCACGAAATGCCCAACACCAAGCCAAAAAATGGTTTACATAATACTTTACCTTGCAAAATGTGTTTCAATGACTGAAATAAAGTTTTGTTAATTTTTTATGCTCGATAAATTAAAAAAAGAAATGTTTCAATCAGTTTATTTGCAGAAAAGTTGTGAATTTTGAAAATTTATAAGCAAACTGTGCACAGACTTTTTTTTAATTACCCTAACATACCAGTCACACCCCACTTTTAGTAAATGGTTTTTGAGCTCAAATATCATAAATACTACGGACACACATTCCAAGCGCATATATAATAATTATGTAAAAAATTTGGCAATGGCCCATATCTTTTCATCTTAGAAGGGAGGGACAAATATGTCTTCTTTTCAAACGCACTGCACAATATGACAAGGCCATATATGTCAGAGAAACTTGATTGCATATTTAAGAGCACACAAAAAACTCAAACTTTTCTTCTCAAGTCTACGGTGTTGTTTCTTCTATATAAACTAACAATATTTTTTTTATATAGGCTTGGAATTTCATTTTATATGTTTCATATGCCTTAAACGACTGTACATCAAAAGCTAGCTCTATTCAAACTTGGCCTGTTGTTGTCAAAGGTGCAAGATTCAAGGATTTCTATTGTATAGAATACAATAAAAAAAACACTTCTAGAGAGCTTTAACCCTCCGTCGTGACTCCAAAATGTGTCACTCGTGAAAGCTGCAAAAATCGCAAGACCTACTGCCATTTTGAAACCCAAAACTAAAGAACAACAAAAAAATATATACTTCTGTAGTTGTAATGTGAGGCTTTATTATAGTCACACATTTTTCACCAACATATATTTTTTTCACAAATTTTTAGAGGACCCAACATTTTTCTTGCACAATTTGAGATGAAATCACCCTTTCAATACCCAGCTAAAGATACTCGTCAAAGGCACCCTGTAAAGGCATTCATGGTGACTATATTTCTACGCAAACTTTAACACAATTAAGGAAAAGAATTGCCGACTCAAAATCTGCTCTTTTTTTTTTATTGTTGGCGCCAGTTCAACTGCCCTATGAAGGCCAGTTGAGAACTTCACGAAGCATATCTTCAATATTAAATTAGAATATTTAATCAAACTTAATTTTCATGGCACCAAGACACCAAAAACCACGGTAGAGAAAAGAAAACCCATATGTCACAACTTAAATGCGACATGATTTAGATTATGATCTAGACCAGGAGTCTTTTTCTCTTATAATTTAAATCGGACTGTTCCTGGAAAAAAGTAATCATGAAAACAATCTTTTTGACATTTGAAGTCTCCGCTATTCAGCTCTTTTTATGAACACGCACAATTTTTTTTACGTAGCTTTAAACATACAATCATCGAAAGAGGAATTTTCGACATGGTGCATGAAGAAAGCAGAGCATGGTAAAATGAATTGGCAGCATCGAGTTTCCCTTTTCATTTTGCTTTACGTCGCTCATTATGCTGAAGAGATAGATATTAAATACTGGGAATAAAAAACCTGATGAGAAAGCTCTCATATTTCTAATGCTATCGGCGTCAGCAAGCTGCACCGGTGGCTTCAAAAGCTTGCTCCTTCCTAGAATGCAGCTTGTTCATGATTTTGGATATTATAATTGTGACTGACAGACTATGGGACTTTTTCTATGGCATCGGTGAGATGTAGAAAGATAAAAACTTGCACAGATTTCAATATTTATCTCAAGTAGCTCATATTTTGTTGCACTTATCAATTGGCAATATTATGTTGTTCCGCAATATTTAAAGGGAAGCTACGAAGCTTCTTGAAAAAAATGAGTTAAAAGTGAATTCTAGTGTATTTTTACCTCGTGAACCCGAATACCCAAACCATTTGCTGCGCAAGTGTTGTTAATCGCGAGAAAACGCGAAAGACAGCCGCTGTCCGTGACGTCATCGATGGATCTTTTGGCTGCCCAAGGCTACTGAGGCGGGGCTTCAGCCCTATTTTGAAATTGCTCGTATGGCTCTCCGGCGCGTCGCATTGAAATATAATTGTGATATCTGTTATTCTAAAGGCCAAATGAATGCAATTCAAGCGTTTTTTCTCAAATGTAGAAGTGCCCCATCTTCCCTTTAAAGCACAAATAAGGTTCTTCACAAACATTTAAGATACGAGGAAGGTTGCCTTAGCTTTAAGGTACAAAGTTGTTTGTATTCACCATCAAATGTGTTTAAATGAAATGTAACCTCACGACATACTTACATTTGGAAGCTATTAGCTTTCGTGCATGCTTTTTCTAGGTTCAGGTTCACTAAAAGAACTCTTCTGTCACATTACAAAATGTGATAAAAACTACATTTCGACAGAACTTAATAATGATTTTTTTTTTACTCGTAAAATTAAAATATTTATATTTTCTAAGCTTTTGGAAACAAATTAATTAAAAAAAAAAAAAAAAAAAAAAAACTCGAATTTGTAGTCACGGAGGGTGAAACAGTCCAAGCAACCTCTGCAGTCTTGTTTTGTCGAAATGTCGTTGGAGTGTCCTTTTAATATACGAGATATTTTGGGAGACTCCATTCCAGGCAAAACCAAAGGCAATAAAAAAAGCAAACGAGCCCGCAGACGGCAGAAAATACTCGGCGACGGCAATCGCGGCCGCGCTCTCGCCCAACAAAATGAACAGAGGAAGGCGAAAAAGGACCGCAAGCAAGACGGAGGGACCCATCACAAAAGAAAAGGGGTCCGCTCACTCGCACAAGCATAGGCTACGGCACAAGCGACAGCAGCGAAATGCCTTTTTTGACGCAAGCTATTTCGACGGGGGCATGCATCAAAGCGCAAAGGCGCTTTGAAGCATGTCCACGGCGGCACAGAAAAAAAAAAAAAAAAAAAAATGTCCACCATAAACGACAAAATAACATCCAGGCCTTGTCAGCGATGTGTTGTTGCTGTATGGCGGCAAGAGACGCGAGTCACGCGACCGAGAGGGCGCCCATACGCACATGTGGGGGTTTGAGCGCGGTGCGTTCCGTAGCGGCAAGCGGACGCGTAGCGGTGCAAAGAGCGCTGGCGCCCACCCACTTCTCGGCTTCTGATTGGACGAACGCACGCGCCGCCGCCGCGTCCAAACTTGAGCCGGGCTCTACTAATCGTGCGATTGTTGTCAAGTTCCTAAGCCTTAAGGAAAACAAATCAGGAGGCACTGAGTAAAGCATATGAGGAATGTTCAGTCCCCGAATGTATGGATTGACGAAGACGAAAAAACAAAAACAAAAAAAAAAACTTGGGGAATTCAAAAAACTACATCAAGAAACGCAAAAAAAAAAAAAAAAAAAAAAGTTAGATTTGGTTTTGAAACACTGTTCATGGATGATAAGGCATTCTTTTATGATCCCTACCTGAACAGAGTTGATGAATTACAGAACGCTCTTTTCAGACCTCTGCTACCAAACGCGAACAAGCCATAAAAGTAAAAAAGTTTTTTTTTTTAGATTAATTTTAGATGACTTATCTAAACATGGCGAGCTTGATAATGCCGTTGAGGTACACTGCTCTCACATTATTTTGGGAACGAAAACGTGGCTTTCCAATAATACAACAAACGACCAACGACTGAAACAGGTCCTTCTGGGTGGTGGTGTCCTCGTTGCAATTCAGAAAAGGTTCTCGCCTGATTGAAATATGTTTTGTTCGGGTCGAGTTCGCGTTTTCTCATGTATTAATAGGAGTGCGATGCCGTGTTCATTCGCGAATTGTATAAAGTTATGAATACTGCGTTACCCACAGTGTCCTCCAGGGGGTATTTAATTATCCTGGCACTGATTGGACTGTCTCGTTCACTCGATCCGGTTATGTGAGTTCCAACGCGGGAACATTCAATTATTATTTAATATTACCCGTGAACGTTGTTGAAGCTATTGTCATGGTGGACGCTGACACTTCTATTCACAAAAAAATGTTGCGAAATCAAGTTCATTTTTGATTATGAAAGAGCAAACTCTTCGGACATCGCATCAACCATTGAGACTTGATTTTCAAGGTTTTTTTAATCTCAAATCAGAAAACCAAAAAAAAAAAAAAAATGGAGTCTGATTAAAGCAAAGCTTTTGCAGACAATGAATCTATTTGTGTCTAGCGCTCCTAAACAACAACGTGCTTTACGTGGGCTTACCGACAAACATGGTAACTTGTCTGATCCTGAAAGTGCAATAGCTTCTAAACAGTCTCCAGGTGAAGTTTTTAACGAAGATTCATTTCCTTTACCTGTATATAAAAAATAGTCACAACTAGGGTGCCTCAATGTCCTTCTGTTTAGGGTGATGCCACCTAGGGTGCCTTCATGTGCGCTCTGCTTAGGGTGGTGGCATCTCGCCATTTTGTCACACACGTTTATTTTTATTTTTTGTTCAGAAGCGCGTGAAAGAGCGTGTCCCTGCACGCGCTTGTGGCGCTGACTGTGCTATGGCGACATTTTGTTTTCGTCGATTTCTTTGTATTTTGACCGTGAGCGCGTGCTGTCGGCATGTGGTACTACAAAGGGTGGCATCACCCTAAACAGAAGGACATTGAGGCACCCTAATG